GGCAACACCAGGGCCCAAAAACGTTCTGGACATCCATGAGTAAAGACACATTGGCAAGATGTAGAGAATCTTACCCGAGTGTCTTTTGATATCAACGAGTATTGATATATTTGATATCAAAAGACACCAGAGTGAGATTCTATTTATCATCCAACATCATCCTTCCAACTTTTGCAGTTTGTAGACAGTAATAAGCAGTGTCTTAAGTGTAGTGAGTGAGTGAGTATTGTTTTACGCCGCTTTTAGCAATATTCCAGCAATATCACAGCGGGGGACACCAGAAATGGGTTTCACACATTGTACCCATGTCGGGAATCGAACCCGGGTCTTCGGCGTGACGAGCGAACGCTTTAACCACTAGGCTACCCGACCGCCCTGTCTTAAGTGTAAAAAGTACTGCTAAAAGCTTCAGTAGTAGAGCCATTAGTGATGACATTTGATTGTGACGTGATGGTAACCAATGACGTCACAATGGTCTGCAAAGCATTGTGATGCAATTTCATTGCAGTGATATTACCCAAGCGATATCTCCTGTGGGAGCCAGTTGTGGATGATAAAATCATATCCATCTGGTTCACCTGTAAAATCAATTTCAGACTGCAACTTTGACAGCCCATGGCAACCCTTGCTTTCGCCACTTTTACTGCACATCATTGACCTGCAGGCCTGGCATGGCCAAGACAACATCGGAGGTTCAGGTTAAAGGACTGTTGGTTAGTCCTCTTCAGTGATAAGTCGAAGTTTCATCTTGACAGCAGTGATATCAGATTTAAAGTTAGGCTGATGTTTGTGTTGTTAAACGTTCTGCATTTGGTGGTGGGAGCGTAATGGTGTGAGGAGGCATCACTGTACATCACAGGACACCTCAAAATGTCATCGACGGCAATTTGACATGTGTATGGTACCATGACAAAGTTATCTGTCATCATGTCCCTTCTGACCCATATTGTAAAATCACTTTACCACAGGACAATGCATGCCTCATGTTGCACGTGTGGTCACAGACTTCATTGGACAACAAAACATCCCTTCACTCTTGGTCTGCTGTTTCGCCAGATCTGTCACCAATCAAACAATGTGGGATGAAATGAAACATTGCTAACACTGACTTCCAAACCAACGGTGATGTTTGTCCAGCTGCAACATGCCTTGGTCCAGGTCTGGAATGACATCCCACAAGCTTTCCTCAACCATCTTGTGATCTCAATGAGGCATCACTGCCAAGCTTGTGTCTTGCTAATGGTGGTCATACCTGATACTGACTTGTGACCTGACAGTTGACCCCACGTCACTTTCAGCATGATATGACATTTACAGAAGACATGTGTTGACACTGTCAAGATGAATTCGTGTTTCATGGACATCAATATATAGTTCTGCCCAAAGTCCTTCTTCGCTTGCACATTTCCCATGATAGACAGTGATGCACAGAAAGTATTTTCCGCTGGTATCTTGAGGTAAATCAACAAACATGAAACCAGTGACCTCAGGCTCTGTCTGAGGCACATAAACAAAGAGGACACAATAAAATGTGATCTGTACATCCAGGGTCCAGTTGCACAAAGCGCTTTTAGCGCTACGACTGTTGTAAGTCTATGTGGCAGAATAGGAGTTATGACTGTTGTAGCACTAAGGTCGCCTTGTGCAACTGGACCCTGGCTTTCTGTATCCTCTGACTATTTGAGGAAGTACTGCAGATGTGAAGCTTCATCTTGTCTCTCTTGGTCACCATATCAGGAGCCCCCTTTTGGGAGTGTAACTGAACAGTTTTTCAAGTTACTGATGCGTTCTAGCTACTGTATCAAGTGACTACAACTGTGCTTTTATTGTTCCTGATCAGGCAAATCAGCCAGTTCCAAATCTAATTATGATGAATTTGAATAATAAACATAATAAAAATATGACATGCTATTTTATCAAGAAAATCCTTCATAGAAGATTTTTGGAGCACACCTGAGGCAAGCACAATTCAATAGGTGTCACCAAAATGTACATTGCCAGTGTATTGCATTGCACTAGGTCTTATGACACTGCCTTATTGCCTATATATTTGTACATTGCCAGTGTATTGCATTTCACTAGGTCTTATGACACTGCCTTATTGCCTATATATTTGTACATTGCCAGTGTATTGCATTTCACTAGGTCTTATGACACTGCCTTATTGCCTATATATTTGTACATTGCCAGTGTATTGCATTTCACTAGGTCTTATGACACTGCCTTATTGCCTATATATTTGTACATTGCCAGTGTATTGCATTGCACTAGGTCTTATGACACTGCCTTATTGCCTATATATTTGTACATTGCCAGTGTATTGCATTGCACTAGGTCTTATGACACTGCCTTATTGCCTATATATTTGTACATTGCCAGTGTATTGCATTGCACTAGATCTCATAACACTGCTGTAGTGCCTACATAGACTACGTTTGTGAGTTATTTATACCCAGAGGAAAGCCCTTTTAAGCGAGGCTCTGACCCAATTACTACCCTTGTGTACCACTGCTTGCCCAGGTGACAGGTGCCGTCAATATATGAAACAAGTTATTATGTGGGTCACCATGGGAGTATGCTGTTGTATGTAAGTTCCATTTTGTTCCACGCAAGTGACGGTGACAAGATACATGTTTTATCCCAAAGTAAACTGAATGGTGCTGAAGAGGTTTTTAAAAGGCTATCAACTGATGGTAGCGACTGGCTTTTGACACAGAATTCTAAATTGTGCATTAGGCATTTTGTCAAGAGGCACACAAGTGATAAATGTCAAAATACAATTAATAAAGTAATATTTATTTTCAGGATTTCCATTTCTGTTCAGGATTATGTTGAGTTCAATTTTCATGACATTACTTATGAGAGATAATTTCATTATATGCTTATGTTGTTTGGTAGCAATGAATCCAAAGATTATTTCTACATAGTGATAAGACTTTCATCTCATCAATTAATTTTGTAGTTCCTTCATTTTCAAATGACAAAAACAAAATTGGCAATGTATTCCAACCAAATCAATAACATGGCCTATAAGATTTTGATTCCATTTATTTCTGGGGAACTCCCATCAATTACTGCAGAGATAACAAAAGTCATATTAATGTAGCATTTGAGATGTGTCAGAGAGGGGTAAAATATATTTTTTACTAATTTCAAAGTAATCCTACTTTACAGGATTGATCAAGTCCCTTCAACAAGTAGACCTCAGTTATACAGCAGCAACATCATCAAAAGTACAGACTTCACTTAAATTGAATTTGATGTATATGAGGTCTCAAATGTAAAATGTTCATTTAGCCCAGTCATTGGATTAAAAGTGGATAAATTCACAGCCCCTTTCCAATACTTGTGAACTTGATAGTACTTGCTCCGTTCTGTTAGTACTTGCTCTGTACTCCTGGAGCAGCAAACAGTCGCCATGAGGTGATTGTTCTTATGGTCACTGCAACTTTGTACATGCATACAAAATGTATGCATACAAAATATATATCTGAATCCCAAAGTCTTCATCAATCATGCAATAAAAGACAGATTTATACGTTTATCCATAAGTACATTTATTGACCAACATAGATCAGCTACCCAACAGAAATGGCGTGAAAAGAAAGTCTAAATAGAACATTGCAGGGGACCAAGTTATGATAATCTCAATGTCTACAATTCCCACAGCACTGATTATAAGCTTTTAATTCAATAGTAAATATTACAGCTAATTCCTAACCAGTCTAGGGAAGTTTTTTAACATGACAATTATATCTATCTCATAGCGTAATCTCCTCATTCTTTCTAAATTATCAGGTTACACGTTTCAAAATTAATCCCTTGACACACATGGAAAATCAAATTTTAGAGTATGAACTATTTTGAATCCGTTGAGTTTTGCAGTATTTCTAGACTTTCTAGTACTATGGTGCTGTATTTTTTTTCTTTTTGGGGAAGGGGGCTTGATGGTCATTGAGTTTGCAAACTGATTGTTCCTTATCAAGATGGAATATTTTCATTGTAAAAAGATGCATATATGTATATAAAATACAAATCTGTTCATGTCAGTATAATGATTTCCTATGAAAAATAATTATGAGTGATTACTTTTAGGATGATTGTATCAAGAAATGTATGTTAAGAAAGTAATCATACATTAGAATTGTATGACAAGATATTGTATCAGTGTTTTGTTTCATGACGACATTTGCATTGACACACTTGCAAATAGTTTCAGTAATAATAAATATTTTCAAAGGGAATGTTGTGGCCAAATGCACTTATAGCCACTGAATGGACTGGAACAAAGGGAATGTTGTGGCCAAATGCACTTATAGCCACTGAATGGACTGGAACAAAGGGAATGTTGTGGCCAAATGCACTTATAGCCACTGAATGGACTGGAACAGTTTGCTCCTTGAAAACTTTCATATCTTACAAACTATTGTTCCTGAAAATCTGAAAATCACTCGTTTGGGTGGTTTTGGGTTGGCTAAAGCACATACATTTTTGTGATGTTATTATGATTTCTTTTCTTCTCAATGGTTAATAGATCTAAAAAGAAATAGGTAAAAAATATTCAATTTAAAGAAAACACTGGACTGCGGTCCCTATCCCAACAAGTATGGTCAAGTTGAAAGAGGGACTCAGCCCTGTCAAGCACATCACATTCTAGTCCTTTATTTTACCAATTATGCAATACACATGTAGATATCAATTAAAGAAATTTAAGTACTCTCAAGTGTTCAAGTTTAGATTGTCTTACATGATTATTGAGTTCTTTACAGTGTCACAAACCAAAGGTGATATCTGATATGATTTGTGGTTACAGCCATACTATACTATACGGAAGTAGGCTAGGGTACAAAATAGGTCACAGCCTCGCTTTCGATTGGGGAATTCCCTTTTTGTGACAGTCACAAACATGGGCTATAAATTAATGTGCATTGCCAGTGTCTAGCATTGCACTAGATTTCAAAGTGCTGATGTGTATATACTATATGGTGCTAGATTCTTACCACAGGCTTTAGGCTGAAGAAACAACTGGCTTTTGGGTCTTCTGCAACCATCTTGCGATGATGACGTCTTCTCCTGACCAAGTCCATGGTTCGCTCCTGTGAGTGGAACTTCATGTTGAAGAGCGGTGCATACTCCCATCCTTCAGCTGCCTTTTGTTTCTGCTTCTCCTGGGGAGTACACAGGGTGTTATAGATAGCACTACAACACACACCTCACATGCTTTTTCATGCTCTTTCACACTCTTACCAAATTTCATTAAATTTTTAACACAAATGTCTGAGTAATAGCCACAACAAGTTTCAGCTTTCAGTATGGTCGAGGCAAAGGTCAAACCAGGGTCAAACTATAAAATATCTCAAAAACAAACATATATGTTGAGCCCCACTACTAACTGCAAATCTACCAAACGTCATCAGATAAACAAGAATGTCTGCGTAATGGCAATAAATGGGGTTTGCAATATGGCTGCCATGGTGCCTCTTGAACAAACTTGGATGCAATCATAGGTGGGAACTTGTATACAAAGTTTCAGCTTCATTGGTCCAGAGGTTTCTCAGGAGAAGATGTTTACAGATACTGAGCTGCCAATTGCCAACTGACACAGGAAAACCAACCCATGACATAAGCTCAATTGACTTTCTGTCAGGTGAGCTAAATCACATTTTATCTAAATAATCAAAACAATTAATTAATTATTAAAAACAATTTACTCATGACTTCCTCCGTTAAACAAGAAAATAATATATTTCTATGTCCATGAATAACACAGAGGTATTGTTTTGTTTGGTCAAGATGATTGACTTGGAACCAAACATAGGAACTTCCCCTAACATGAATTACATTATTTTGGAGGCGTCATCATTTCTGACAACTAATAAAAGTAAGGAAACAGGCCTTCCAAAACCAATCTATAGTTATGCTCATGTATTTCTTATCATTGTCAACATTACAACTGAGATTTGTTAGTGCCCTAAAGCACATTGTTGTCATTGTTTTCAATGAGTGTGGTCCTGCTTGTCTTTAAGTGAGCAAAATGGCGCAAATGTAAACTCGGCAAAAGTGCATATTGTGATTTTCAATAACAGCCACTTATTCGCAATGAAAGTCCTTGGTTACAGAGGTGTATGAAAAGGAGATGTGGTAAAACTTAATTCAGTGCCATTCTACAAAGTTTCAAATTTGTATTGATATATCAGAATTATATTTGTGACATCCTTATTTATTATTTAACCAATGTTTTGCAATCTCTTTGTAAGTTTAACATACCTATAAACTGCCCCAACTGCAGTTGCCCCCCTGGATTTTTTTATAGAAAACAGTTTATTTGAATCATGAAAATACAAGTTGGGGACAAGTGATACATTTTGATTACTTTTTGTGCTGTTTTACCTTCTGAACTTGCTTCTTTGTATCCATGACCATGGTACGAGACCTGACCCAGCGTCTACGTCGACACAAGTGGTAGGTTTTCTCCACAGGCCCATATCCACCAATCGTGGCCTCCACACAGTACTCCCATGCTGAAACACACCCATCGAACAGCTCACATTACTACATCAGTGAAGACATAAAACCATCTAGTGCATGAAAAATACCACCTGATGTCTTCACTTTCTCCTCTACTGCTATGCTGCCAAAAGTAAGCAGAGCAATAGAAGGAAAAGTACACAGGTCTAAGCTAACAGGGCCTGGCCCCCCCACTGCTGCAGGCTGGTCTTACCTTCCTCATCTACAGCTCTGTTCAGGTCCACCTGCCACTCGTCATCCCACTTCCACCCTCCTGGCAGAGGAACCTCCTCCTTGGCTGGACATGGGTCTCCTTTCTGAAAATGGGCACAGGTATTAAAGAATACTTTCATTCTCCATATAACAAATGTTGAAAACTGTCCAACTATAACACATTTGTGCTACAGTAACAAAATCCACAGCAATATTCACATGGTTGAAATCTACTGTCCATTTGAATGTGTACATACCTATCCTGACATCTTTGGTGTAGCGAAGATATTAATGTGTTTTTGATCTGAATTAAACAAAACACTCATCATAGCCTTTAAACAAAGTATGGCGTTGTGTATGCTCAAACATCATTTTCTTCACATCATCATACTTCACCTGCATATATGACAAGCATTGAAACTGTGTAGCACAGCGACTTCATGAGACAAGATGAAGTGGCAACCCTTTAGAGAAATTAAGCAAATCTTACAAGGTTTTGTTCTACACCGCACGTCACTACTAAACCGCCATTGTGATGCAAAAAATGAGATGTCACAGTTGGCTAAAGAAAAACACCAATTAAGCTTCAAGCTCTGTTGTCCATAAAACTTCAACTACACCCTCTTTATTGATTTTTTTCTCATGTTTTCTGCCCAAAATGTATTGTCACTCCAGCATAGACTATTGTAACTGCAAATCTGGATTTGTAACCAATAATTGTACATTTCTAAAAGCCTACTGACAGTGATTGACAAAGAAGTACTTTTTGATCAATATTACCTTCTGTGCTGATGTGGGTGTTCAATCAGAGGTGGTTATATTGATTTTAGCTTCTGATTGACCAATGAGAACCAAGAGTCTTCCAAACTGATGGTAGTATGTAAACTAAAGATAACTGTAAATCATGAACTTAATGCAAGTATGAAATCAATGAGAAAAATGCAAGTGTCCCTTGCTTGCATTAATAAAATGACGCATTTGTATGTGGACATATTGGAGCATATTTTCATGTCAGGTTCACTGCACATGGGTGGAAACAATGACCTACATAACAAAGCTCACAAGAACAATGTAACTGCTCATTACGTTCAAAGGATTGCTCTAACTTGTGTAAGAACACTTAGAACCTGTACAATCTTCATCATTTACCCGGCCCTATCTCACTTGCATATGCCTTACATGGAATTTGCTGCTTTGATTTTATGTAAGTTTGAGTTTATTTAAGCTGAATCATAAGTCAGCCAGTTGAAGTTAAGTTTGTGAAGATAATATTCTGCTATCACCCCATACTATATCATTGGATTCTATGTCTCCAGGCTTGGTGTTATTAGATCAGATTTTCAAGTTCAAACGTAGGGCTACCTGCATTAATTTCCTGACACATTTTAGGGGTAGACACTTGCATTAATTTGGTGACACATTAATTTCATAATTTACAGTATATGAATTTACTACACACAATGTTAAGGCCATGGACAATTATCAGTAAGGCTTCAGCATTAAACCAATGTAAGGACACATAGTGCTGGAGAACTCTGTACAGCTTCATTGTTGTGGAATATTCACTGAATTTGTAACATCAGATAGCTATTAGTAAACTGAGACAAACATAATCAAAATAAATTCAAAAAGGTTTAGAAGAAAGGTAAAATGTTGAATAATTAATGAAAATGTGAAATCAGTCACTTCTATCAATGAATTGTAGAGCATAGAATGAAGGGAATGCTGGCAAGACATGCAATCATACTACACACATACCACTGATGATACAGTCCAACACAAGGTAGCAAGAGCTACAATTCTGTGGAATACTTACATCAATACTTCATTGGTAACAATGATATCCACATAGTTTATATTGTTTCACATAAAGACATTCATGACCAAAGAAACACAACATTCAAATGAAGTGGAGCCTGAAAGATGACTGTAATTTGAACAAATGATGACAACATTCATAAAGTGTCATCCAAAAACATAATAAAAGGACAGCATAGTCAACACTCAGCAATGCTGCTGAAAGTAAACAAACAAGTCAGCTGTTATTTACCTCATTGCAGTATGCCTAGTTGAAATAAAATCAGAAAACGGATTGATCTTTGAATGATGAATTCTACATGATTTGTACATGAGAATTGTCTTCTGTGTGAAACATGACTATTCCTATACCATTGCAACCCACGGCAAATCTCTGTACTTAGGGTCAATGCATCTCATCAAAAAGGATACTAACAAAAAACGTTTTTGAATAGAAAAAACCCATTTGGCATCTATAAAATGAAATAAATAGCACATGGCATCAGTTAGGCAATTTGTTAAGTATTGGTATGTGACCTATATCTCCCTTGTTCACCAACCGTCTGACATCACATATGTATATGATGTACACATTGTATATATACATGTCACGTTTATGCATCGTCATCAGGAAAGGGTCTTTTTGCTTGGTGCAACACGAGGGTGTTACATGATGCCAAGTTATGTTTCAGACGCACCTTTTCATTACATCTGAAAGTAAATGTTGTGCACTGTGTCAACCTCATTTATGGCAAGCCATATTTCCTATCGAATGTATAATGTTATACAAATGCATACAAATCCATTTGATATAGGTTTTTGTCGTTCAGGATATTCGGCAGCATTTTGTTCGCTCAGTTTGCGAAAAAGCTGTTAAATAAAACAAATTGTTGCACAGTACTTATCTTGGTGTATGATAATAAGTGGCGATATTTGCTGTTTTTTTAACGCCTAACAAAACTTAACAGTGTCTCTTTTTCAAATCAGTTTAATATTTGCAGTTAACATTTTACATCTCTGTGTAATTTTATAGTCTGAGGCTGACACAGTGCTGGGTGAGCACAATTCTCATTCATGTTCACCTTCCAGATGTTATAAAAATGATGTAATACATTGTGCACCTCGCCATGCAGTTATCATATACACAGGGAAACAAGCCAATTAATTAAACTCGGAATATTTTACAAATTGCAGTGCCATCTGGCATTCTTTATTGTCAATGTCCTTTAGCAGTTTAGTGTCCTTTTGTGCGCACTGTACACATTGTTCTCTCTTTTCATAACATTAGACTATTTATTGCATACTTTTGACCTTTATTTCAACTTTGTAGTTTTTAATTAGCGTCTGTTTGTATTTTGACCTTTATTAGTAACATTTAATATCTTATTTGTAACATTTGATCAGTATCGCATACTTTTGTCCTTTATTTCAACTTTGTGTTTTTGACTGATCTGATTCCATGCTTGCCATCCATTAGCTAGTACAACATTCCATGGTAACACCTACCACATCTGCCCAGGGTCTGGATGCTGGACCCCAGTGCCCACCAGGCAGATTCCGGGCTTGGCACTCATAAATGTCCTCCAGAAACTGATGATGACCAGCATCTTTGTCAAACAGCATACTGCAATGAAAACAGAAAGCTAGTGTATGTAATCCTAGCAAAGGTAGATGATATAGAAGCTATTTACCACCATCACAATATGATATCAGATTACTTGCTGAGGATAATACACAACACAGATTCAACCATAACCCTTTACTAACAATAAGCATTTACAAGTCTTCACAAATGAGCAGTACAAGAAGATTCAAGAGCAGGCTACTGACCTGAGTTCTGGGCTGACATACCAGTCACTATCCCATCGCCATCCCGGTGGGGGATCAAAGCCATCTTGTGGCAGAGACACCTGCACACACATAATAACACTAATGCTGTAATAAAGTATCTGTGCATCGATCACCACATTCCAGATTAATTTTATGTCATCTCAATATAGAAAGATATGCAGAAGAAGGATAAGTTATTAGACATGAAAACATATTTTCTGAAAGTATGCATGAGGACATTTTCTCTTAAAAAAATATTTTGGTTGTGTCTCTCGTCTTTGATGATGGAACACTGCTCCTTCAGGTTTCACCGTCAGTGTCACCTCCTGCCTGGAGGCCGGCACGTGGGCAGCACACTGACCTTCCCTTGGCTGTCCGACCACTTGGGACGGGTCATGGTAGGGCCTTTGTTTGTCCAGGTTCCCAAGATGCTCACTTCATTCTGATACTGAAAAAATAAGTGAGGACATAAAACACCTGAACTTAAGTTCTGCAGACCATTTCTTGAATTACTATTTCCAACAGCTAAATAGGAAGGAAGTCATACCCTCATGAAGTTCTTCTTGTGACATCCCCTTTCTATGAAGGTACTTAATCACAGCTTGTTTCCCAGTTTTCTCCATTTTCACAGATTCTCCAAGCAAATTCTCTACTTGACTTCTTAAAACAGATGCAGTTATCAGTCTCTAAGTTGGAGTTCATGTCTTCCAAGAGATGACATTCTCCATACACATGTTGAACCTCACATGTGCAGCTAGGCTACCAGTGATACCCGAGCAGAGCTACCAGTGTTATTTCTGACACCTGTTCTACCAGCGCTACCTGTGCTTCAATTGGTAATTCTTCTACCTGAGCTACCAGTGATACCTGAGCTACCTGAGCTACCAGTGATACCTGAGCTACAAGTGATACCTGTGCTACCAGTGCTACTTCTGATACCTGTGCCCTCTGTGCTTCAAGTGCTAATTCTTTTACCAGCGCTACCTGTGCTTCAAGTGTTAATACTGCTACCTGAGCTACCGGTGATACCTGAGCTACAAATGATACCTGAGCTACCAGTGCTAATTCTGCCATCTGGGCTACCTGTGCTTCAAGTGCTAATTCTGATACCTGTGCTACCTGTGCTAATTGTGATACCTGTGCTTCAAATGCTAATACTGATACCTGTGCTACCTGTGCTAATTGTGCTACCTGTGCTTCAAGTGCTAATTCTGATACCTTTGCTACCTGGGCTACCCATGATACCAGTGCTAATTCTGCTTCAAGTGCTAAATCTGATACCAGTCAACCAATCTATCAGTGCTAATTCTGATAACTGTGTTACCTGTGCTACCAGTGCTGATTCTGATACCTGTGCTACCAGTGCTAATTCTGATACCGGTGATTTAAGTGCTAATTCTGGTACCTGTGCTTCAAGTGCTAAATCTGATACCAGTCAACCAATCTACCAGTGCTAATTCTGATAACTGTGCTACCTGTGCTAATACTGATAGCTGTGCTTCAAGTGCTAATTCTGCTACATGTACTACCAGTGCTAATTCTGCTACATGTACTACCAGTTCTAATTCTGATACCTGTGCTACTTCTGCAACCTGTGCTAATTCTGCTACCTGTGCTACCTGTGCTAATTCTGTGCTGCCAATGTTAACTAGAAAGTGTTTTTACTCGTAAAAACATATGTCTCCCCCCACTCCCCTAACCCCCATTCATTCGTTTACTTCACGTTAAACCCCATCTCTTCATTCCCACCCTCCATTACTAAATAACAGAGACAAAAATAGAACTCCTAGAAATTTCAAATAACTAATGGGCACCACTTCAGTGCTGAGTTAATGTGTATACAAAGATTCGCGAAAAAATATTAAACGGTTTCCGAGTTATGGTCCGGAAACCAAGCTTACCCCCATTCAGAGTCTATGTTCAAGTTATCTCCATGGAAACGAGAAAAAATAAAAATGTCAAAAATCTCTAAATAGCAAAAGGCACCACTTCAGTGCTGGGTTAATGTGTATACAAAGTTTCGCGAAAAAATATTAAACGGTTTCCGAGTTATGGTCCGGAAACCAAGCTTACCCCCATTCAGAGTCTATGTTCAAGTTATCTCCATGGAAACGAGAAAAAATAAAAATGTCAAAAATCTCTAAATAGCAAAAGGCACCACTTTTGCGAAAAATTTTTAAACGGTTTCTGAGTGATGGTCCGGAAACGACGCCAACGCCGACGCCGACGCCGACGCCGACGGGAACCGTGCCAAAAACAATATGTCTCCCTCCATTCTGGGGGAAACATAATTCTGATACCTGTGCTACCAGTGCAATCTGTGCTACTCACCGTCTCTGCAAAAACAGCAAGCTCTCCTTCTTTCTGCATCTTGTGCCACTCCATCTCCTGGCTCTGTAGACCCAGCCACAGCCTGACACGAATCATAGCTGGCACCTCAAACTTCTTGTCCTTCTCAGCCTTGCTGCCAGGGAACTGCAGTACACAAATGCCAGTAAGCACAGCATATGTGGGGCATGTATATGGTTTGTACATGCAAATACAGTAGGAATACCAAACAAGGACTTTCGTCATCATCATTTATTCACTAAGTATGGGTCATCGGCCCATTACATGTTGCAATGGTGCTACAGCCATTTTTTAACATTTCTTTTCTCAAATTATTAGCATAGGAAATAAACATTCCCATACTTTTGTAAAGTATTCGTATTGTTTTCTGACATTAACATGTTAAATTTGTGTAAACTAGGAAATATATAATACCTTTGGGAGAAATACAGTTGCCGTAGATGTTCATGTGCACTACATATTAATATAAAATGGTATTCACTTTCAACATAACCGCAGCTACACATATCACATACTCTTTGTTTTTTAGGCATGCTCACATATATACCAGTTTCTATTTTTAGATGACGTGAGCCACATCTTATAACCTTGCCAAAGCCACATGAAACTTATTTATAGTGATGCAGCCAATATATGGTTCAACCCCAAAAATGGGTTTAAATAAGGAGTACGAGAATGTTTTAGAGCCTAGAGATAAGAAGGCATGCCAATCCTGCTGGTACATGTATTGTGATCTAGCCATTAACTCCAAAACAAAAGAATCTATACTGCCAATAGATTGTACTTGACAAAACCAAATCCCATTTTACATGTTAATGATTTCAACTTTGAAACCCAGGTAAATTTTCCATGGCTAGCATTCAATAGTAGTAGATGATATCCTTTCTTTGGAAAACAAGAGGTTAGCATATATATATATATATGGGATACCTTCCACATTCACCATGGACAATGTGGTTGGGTGTGGATAATTTTACACCAAAGACTTTCCAAAAGTGATGGATTACAGAATGACTTAAATTTGGGCCATAATCAGCAATATTGTCCCTCTGTTATATACAGTGAGTGGCAAGAACTACAGTGTTCATTACACTTGGCATCTGATAAATACCACCCTCTAACCTTCAGCTGAATGGTCTGCAGACGTCCGCAGTGTCGTCCTCTGGACGCAGGGTCTGAGGCAAAGATCAGGTCATTGGCTGGGATACGGAAGTAGGCCAGTCTCTTCTCTCCACTGATCATCCAGATAACCACATCAGGCATGCTGTTTTGGGGCTGCAGAATCATTATACATCTCATCAAATCTTTTAAAGTTGAAAACAAAATATCCATGTATTCTTAACTCAAATATTTCCAGGAATTCAATTTCCCACTCAAGTGGCATCACAATAGTAGGATAGATTGTCAATGTCCATAATAAAGGCACATGAACCAGTACTTCACTTGAAGGAAAAACAATGCTTTCTTACCTCTGTAGCCAAGTTCTTCAGCAATGACAGATATCCTTCTATCTCAGACAGTGCTTCATTCACATCAGTTGCATTCTCCCTGAGCTTTGTGGCTACTTCTATGATGTGAAGTAGTTCGTTCTGGCGATATGCACTGAGCAGTCTGTCCAGCTCGGTGGCAATATGCTGGCCAGGCACTGACTCTGGAAGTGGCTTCCTGTAATGACAGACCAAACAAAATCATCTTCTACACCCAGAGCTGTGACACATGACCCCATCTACTCCCTGTACATGACCCATCTACTCCCTGTACATGACCCCATCTACTCCCTGTACAAGACCCCATCTACTCCCTGTACATGACCCCATCTACTCCCTGTACATGACCCTATCTACTCCCTGAACATGACCCCATCTAATCCCTGTACATGACCCCATCTACTCCCTGTACATGACCCCATCTCATCCCTGTACAAGACCCCATCTACTCCCATACAAGACCCCATCTACTCCCGGTACAAGACCCCATCTACTCCCTGTGCAAAAAACTCCATCTACTCCCATACAAGACCCTATCTACTCCCTGTACAAGACCCCATGGCCCCATCCCTGTACAAGACCCCATCTACTCCCTATATATGACCCCATCTAATCCCTATATATGACCATATCTTCTCCCTGTATATGACCCCATCTTCTCCCTATACATGACCCCATCTACTCCCTGTACATGACCCCATCTACTCCCTGTACATGACCCCATCTACTCCCTGTACATGACCCCATCTACTCCCTGTACATGACCCCATCTAATCCCTGTACATGACCCCATCTACTCCCTGTACATGACCCCATCTACTCCCTGTACATGAACCCATCTACTCCTTGTACATGACCCCATCTAATCCCTGTACATGACCCCATCTACTCCCTGTACATGACCCCATCTACTCCCTGTATATGACCCCATCTACTCCCTGCACAAGACCCCATCTACTCCCTGTACATGACCCCATCTATTCCCTGTACGTGACCCCATCTTCTCCCTGTACATGACCCCATCTTCTCCCTGTACATGACCCCATCTACTCCTTGTACATGACCCCATCTACTCCCTGTACATGACCCCATCTTCTCCCTGTACATGACCCCATCTATTCCCTGTACATGACCCCATCTATTCCCTGTAGATGACCCCATCTACTCCCTGTACATGACCCCATCTACTCCCTGTACATGACCCCATCTACTCCCTGTACATGACCCCATCTACTCCCTGTACATGACCCCATCTTCTCCCTGTACATGACCCCATCTTCTCCCTGTATATGATCCCATCTTCTCCCTGTACATGACCCCATCTACTCCCTGTACATGACCCCATCTACTCCCTGTACATGACCCCATCTTCTCCCTGTATATGATCCCATCTTCTCCCTGTATATGACCCCATCTTCTCCCTGTACATGACCCCATCTACTCCCAGGATTCATACAACGCATGCACCCTCACCTACAGTCTTGGGTCAGCTGGTCCAGCAGTGAAATCAGGAGCTGGGCTAATTCAGGTGTTGGCAACTTTGCTTTAATACCTATTCGAACTCTTTCAATGTTGGCTTCCTGAAAAACAATGCATATTTAACATTAGAATATTTTTCTGTTCTTATGGGACTATGGATGTTTACATTATATTAAGAACCACTGAACTTTCAGTTTGAATAAATCCAAATATGAACATTTATCGAGCAGGTTTAGGACGATGTCAGAGCTAATACGAGTGATGCCCTGCAAGATAACTATCCATGGACTGACCAGATCCATGATGATTTTGAGGAGACAGTTGAGTGCCTCCAGTCTGAAGCTGATGTCCTCCCAGTGACTGTCGACCACCACACATGGCTTGGTGTTTCCCCACGGCAGGAAGTAGTAGTAGCAGCCATCAAACACAGCATTGGTGGGCTGTGTGGTAGATGCACAGGGGGCCACATTCTCATCCAGTTTGTTCCCATAATTTCCTTGATGTTGGAAGGAAATTAAAGATTCAAATACATTTTTAACAACATTTATTTTTCATATGAATAAGTGAGTGAGTGAGTATGGTTTTACGCCGCTTTTAGCGATATAACAGCAATATCACGGTGGGGGACACCAGAAATGGGCTTCACACATTGTACCCATGTCGGGAATCGAACCCGGGTCTTCCGCGTGACAAGCGAATGCTTTAACCACTTGGCTACCCGACCGCCCTGTCTTAAGTGTAAAAAGTACTGCTACAAACAAGCATGAAATACTCACATCCCCTGCCAATATGACATGTCGGGTGTGTGCAATGCATTAGCTCCTGTGAACTATGTTCACTGGACCTTTTTGTAGTATAGTACGTTTTTCAAGATCTGCTCCGGAAACGAGGACTACTGCCTTTTTCAGTCTAAATTAAAGTCGTTGCCATGGAAACTCGAAAAATAACTTTTAAAAAAAATCCCAAACTATCAAAAGGCACCAGTCCACCACTAGACTCATCAATGTGCCAAGTTTGATGAAGAAAGATGGTTCGGTTTTCAAGATCTGCTCCGGAAACGAGGACTACCGCCATTTTCAGTCTAAATCAAAGTCGTTGCCATGGAAACTAAACAAACATTGTTTTTAAAAATTCCCAAACTATCAAAAGGTACCAGTTCACCACTAGATCTATCTATGTGCCAAGTTTGGTGAAGAAATATGGTAGCGTTTTCAAGATCTGCTCCGGAAACGAGGACCGAGGTCTGAGGCTAAACCTGCTACCTAGCTCCTGAACCCGAGGTATTACTAAGCAATGATTAGCCATGTGCTTGCAATCACTGTACAAACAGGATAAACTCTCCACCAGTCTACAGACACTTCATTGAAAAGAGAATTACTACTCTAATATGATTTCCAAAACATGAACTGACAAACAACAATTTGAGCAACACCTACAGGTCTACTAACAACTCACCTATGCTGACTTCGAACTCCACTGGGGCATCAATCTCACTGATCATTGTGGCGTTCAGGAAGGAAGCATGCAGACGATATTTCCGGCGCCGCATGAACTTCTGTTTAAGAGTAAGAGGCATTGGTGCATGAGGCTGAAATCTTTGACATGTCAGTCAACAACTGAAACCTGTATCAAAAAAATACAATGTTGACATGGCCTACACCCTGATACTACCTAAATACAATGTTGATGTGGCCTACACCCTGATACTACCTAAATACACTGTTGATGTGGCCTACACCCTGATACCACTTAAATACACTGTTGATGTGGCCTCCAGCCTGATACTACTTAAATACAATGTTGAAGTGGCCTACACCCTGATACTACCTAAATACACTGTTGATGTGGCCTACACCCTGATACTACCTAAATACACTGTTGATGTGGCCTACACCCTGATACTACCTAAATACACTGTTGATGTGGCCTACACCCTGATACTACCTAAATACACTGTTGATGTGGCCTACACCCTGATACTACCCAAATGCACTGTTGATGTGGCCTCCAGCCTGATACTACTTAAATACAATGTTGATGTGGCCTCCAGCCTGATACTACTTAAATGCACTGTTGATGTGGCCTACACCCTGATACCACATAAATACACTGTTGATGTGGCCTCCAGCCTGATACTGCTTAAATACAGTGTTGATGTGGCCTCCAGCCTGATACTACTTAAATGCACTGTTGATGTGGCCTCCAGCCTGATACTACTTAAATACACTGTTGATGTGGCCTCCAGCCTGATACTACTTAAATACAATGTTGAAGTGGCCTCCAGCCTGATACTACTTAAATACACTGTTGATGTGGCCTCCAGCCTGATACTACATAAATACACTGTTGATGTGGCCTACACCCTGATACTACCTAAATACACTGTTGATGTGGCCTACACCCTGATACTACCTAAATACACTGTTGATGTGGCCTACACCCTGATACTACCTAAATACACTGTTGATGTGGCCTCAAGCCTGATACTACTTAAATGCACTGTTGATGTGGCCTCCAGCCTGATACTACTTAAATACACTGTTGATGTGGCCTCCAGCCTGATACTACTTAAATGCACTGTTGATGTGGCCTCCAGCCTGATACTACTTAAATACACTGTTGATGTGGCCTCCAGCCTGATACTACTTAAATGCACTGTTGATGTGGCCTACACCCTGATACCACATAAATACACTGTTGATGTGGCCTCCAGTCTGATACTACTTAAATACACTGTTGATGTGGCCTCCAGCCTGATACTACTTAAATACACTGTTGATGTGGCCTACACCCTGATACTACTTAAATACACTGTTGATGTGGCCTACACCCTGATACCACATAAATACACTGTTGATGTGGCCTACATCCTGATACTGCTTAAATACAGTGTTGATGTGGCCTCCAGCCTGACACTACTTAAATACAATGTTGATGTGGCCTCCAGCCTGATACTACTTAAATACAGTGTTGATGTGGCCTCCAGCCTGACACTACTTAAATGCACTGTTGATGTGGCCTCCAGCCTGATACTACTTAAATACACTGTTGATGTGGCCTCCAGCCTGATACTACTTAAATACAATGTTGAAGTGGCCTCCAGCCTGATACTACTTAAATACACTGTTGATGTGGCCTCCAGCCTGATACTACATAAATACACTGTTGATGTGGCCTACACCCTGATACTACATAAATACACTGTTGATGTGGCCTCCAGCCTGATACTACCTAAATACACTGTTGATGTGGCCTACACCCTGATACTACCTAAATACACTGTTGATGTGGCCTCCAGCCTGATACTACTTAAATACAATGTTGATGTGGCCTCCAGCCTGATACTACTTAAATACAATGTTGATGTGGCCTCCAGCCTGATACTACTTAAATACAATGTTGATGTGGCCTCCAGCCTGATACTACTTAAATGCACTGTTGATGTGGCCTACACCCTGATACCACATAAATACAATGTTGATGTGGCCTACATCCTGATACTGCTTACATACAGTGTTGATGTGGCCTACACCCTGATACTACCTAAATACACTGTTGATGTGGCCTACACCCTGATACAACATAAATACAATGTTGATGTGTCCTACGTACAAGCTGATACTACTTAAATACACTGTTGATGTGGCCTCCAGCCTGATACCACATAAATACACTGTTGATGTGGCCTCCAGCCTGATACTACATAAATACACTGTTGAGATGGCCTCCAGCCTGATACTACTTAAATACACTGTTGATGTGGCCTACACCCTGATACCACATAAATACAATGTTGATGTGGCCTACACCCTGATACCACATAAATACAATGTTGATGTGGCCTCCAGCCTGATACTACATAAATACACTGTTGAGATGGCCTACACCCTGATACTACTTAAATACAACGTTGATGTGGCCTACACCCTGATACCACATAAATACAATGTTGATGTGGCCTCCAGCCTGATACTACATAAATACACTGTTGAGATGGCCTACACCCTGATACTACTTAAATACAACGTTGATGTGGCCTCCAGCCTGATACTACCTAAATACAACGTTGATGTGGCCTCCAGCCTGATACTACTTAAATACAACGTTGATGTGGCCTCCAGCCTGATACTACCTAAATACACTGTTGAGATGGCCTACACCCTGATACTACTTAAATACAACGTTGATGTGGCCTCCAGCCTGATACTACTTAAATACAATGTTGATGTGGCCTCCAGCCTGATGCCACATAAATATAATGTTGATGTGGCCTACACCCTGATACTACTTAAATACAACGTTGATGTGGCCTCCAGCCTGATACCACATAAATACACTGTTGAGATGGCCTACACCCTGATACAACATAAATACAATGTTGATGTGTCCTACGTACAAGCTGATACTACTTAAATACACTGTTGATGTGGCCTCCAGCCTGATACCACATAAATACACTGTTGATGTGGCCTCCAGCCTGATACTACATAAATACACTGTTGAGATGGCCTCCAGCCTGATACTACTTAAATACACTGTTGATGTGGCCTACACCCTGATACCACATAAATACAATGTTGATGTGGCCTCCAGCCTGATACTACATAAATACACTGTTGAGATGGCCTACACCCTGATACTACTTAAATACAACGTTGATGTGGCCTACACCCTGATACCACATAAATACAATGTTGATGTGGCCTACACCCTGATACCACATAAATACAATGTTGATGTGGCCTCCAGCCTGATACTACTTAAATACACTGTTGATGTGGCCTCCAGCCTGATACCACATAAATACACTGTTGAGATGGCCTACACCCTGATACTACTTAAATACAACGTTGATGTGGCCTACACCCTGATACCACATAAATACAATGTTGATGTGGCCTACACCCTGATACCACATAAATACAATGTTGATGTGGCCTCCAGCCTGATACTACTTAAATACACTGTTGATGTGGCCTCCAGCCTGATACCACATAAATACACTGTTGATGTGGCCTCCAGCCTGATACTACATAAATACACTGTTGAGATGGCCTCCAGCCTGATACTACTTAAATACACTGTTGATGTGGCCTACACCCTGATACCACATAAATACAATGTTGATGTGGCCTCCAGCCTGATACTACATAAATACACTGTTGAGATGGCCTACACCCTGATACTACTTAAATACAACGTTGATGTGGCCTACACCCTGATACCACATAAATACAATGTTGATGTGGCCTACACCCTGATACCACATAAATACAATGTTGATGTGGCCTCCAGCCTGATACTACTTAAATACACTGTTGATGTGGCCTCCAGCCTGATACCACATAAATACACTGTTGAGATGGCCTACACCCTGATACTACTTAAATACAACGTTGATGTGGCCTCCAGCCTGATACTACTTAAATACACTGTTGATGTGGCCTCCAGCCTGATACTACTTAAATACACTGTTGATGTGGCCTCCAAGCTGATACTACTTAAATACAACGTTGATGTGGCCTCCAGCCTGATACCACATAAATACACTGTTGAGATGGCCTACACCCTGATACTACTTAAATACAATGTTGATGTGGCCTCCAGCCTGATACTACTTAAATACAATGTTGATGTGGCCTCCAGCCTGATACTACTTAAATACACTGTTGATGTGGCCTCCAAGCTGATACTACTTAAATACAACGTTGATGTGGCCTCCAGCCTGATACTACTTAAATACAACGTTGATGTGGCCTCCAAGCTGATACTACTTAAATACAATGTTGATGTGGCCTCCAGCCTGATACTACTTAAATACAATGTTGATGTGGCCTCCAGCCTGATACTACCTAAATACACTGTTGAGATGGCCTCCAAGCTGATACTACTTAAATACAACGTTGATGTGGCCTCCAGCCTGATACTACTTAAATACAATGTTGATGTGGCCTACACCCTGATACCACATAATTACACTGTTGAGATGGCCTCCAGCCTGATACTACTTAAATACAACGTTGATGTGGCCTACACCCTGATACCACATAAATACACTGTTGATATGGCCTCCAGCCTGATACCATATAAATACACAGTTAATGTGGCCTCCAGCCTTATACTACTTAAATACAATGTTGATGTGGCCTCCAGCTTGATACTACTTAAATACAATGTTGATGTGGCCTCCAGCCTGATACTACATAAATACACTGTTGAGATGGCCTACACCCTGATACTACTTAAATACACTGTTGATGTGGCCTCAAGCCTGATACTACATAAATACACTGTTGAGATGGCCTACACCCTGATACTACTTAACCCTTTCGCCCCGACTGCCCGATTTATCGGGCAGCATAAACCGTGTCCCAGTACCCGGCTGCCCGAAAAATCGGGTGGCTATTGTCCAAGCCCCACACACGGCTGCCCGATAAATCGGGCGGCGCGACCGTGTTTACAAAATCGCTCTTTCAACTTCCTTTCTCGTGTGTAATCTCGTTCTAAATATGGAAACGAGATCTACACGTGATTGACACGTCATTCGATGGAATTTCCCAGTCTTTTTGGCGCGAAAATCGCGAATGTCACCTGTTTTCGCGACAGGTATTTTTCTCGCTTGAATCGTAAATCTAGCGTAATGGCGGCCAACTACGATTCGGATAGCGATCAGATGACTAACAACGACTCTATCGGGAATAATAATGTGTTTGATTTGAATAATTTACGTGAAGGGGAGAGGGAATTTCGTGAAGATTTTGGTGAAGATTTTGACGGTTTCGACGAGGTGTCCCCCCCCCCCGCCAACTTTCAAGAATGGGAGTGGCAGAGGGACCACAACGGTGGAGACATGAGGGATTTTGAAGAGGCGACCGGACTCAAGAATATATATTGACACGGTGAGTGAAATATCGTGCTATTGATTTTTTCCAACTGTTTTACAATGATTCTGTGTTTGAACAGATTATCAGTGCGACGAATGAGAATGCAGCCTACAGGTGAACGAGCGATCACAACAACAACAAAGGTGAATGGCATGACGTATCTCTTTCTTTTTTAAAAAATTTAAGTTTCTGATCGCAATCCGAATTGTAGTTTGCCGGTTTGTCGTATGTCCTTATATTTCGCTCAATTTGAATAAAATGTATTTCCATATTCATGTTTGTTTTCTTGTTTTTTACATCTTAATTTAAATTTTAGTAACTGTAATGATTATTTATTTATTAATTGATGTAATAATGTACTGATTTAATTTATTATGCAATTGTAAATAACAGTGTATTGTAAATATGTTATCACAACTTGTATATTTGCAGAACTTGAATTTACGATCTTTCCGTCCTGTTACAATTTTTCCCTCCTTTCAGATCAATCTGTGATATCTTCTCTGTGATGTCATTCTTATAGGAGCTGTGGTTCAATGTTCAGGTAATGTGATAAATTACTATTTAAAAACTTAAAAACTTAATTTTTGTTTCAAATCCTGAAAAAGAACAAAATAAATCAAATATTTGTGTTTTTACCTGTGTTAACGAGTTTACCTGCGTTAACAAGTTTACCTGTGTTAACGAGTTTACCTAAGAGGCTGTAAGTGTATCATAAGTAATATGTGACATCAGTATTGAAAACAAAGTCAGTACCAAGAGTTGTAAACTTGTTTATTTGTTTACAGATGTGCATGAAGAGAATTTACCTGTAACACCTGGGATTACCTGTGCCGTGCATGATGACAAGACCACTGTGTTATGTTTACCTTGTATCTGTGATTTATTTTTGTGATTTGTAATACAATTTGAGCCAAAATTCATTGTCTGTTTTCATTTTTTCAGTGTTTTCAAGTTTTATTTCACTTGTAAACACCTGTAATTAGAAAATAACAAAGGTTAGAGACAATAACAACAAAGAATATTAAAGTATACTTAATCCTCTTTACAATGGTATATGATAAATGTATATTAAAAGCAAGTTTCTGGTAGAAAAAGTGCATCAAAAATGATAGTGTGATTTTCCAATAATACTGCCAGGGAGGCCAGTGTACAGGCCTTGTCAGTGTCAGGGACTGCAGGGTCTCAAGGGACATAACTCTGGGGCAGCCAGTGATGAAAGAGTTAAATACAATGTTGATATGGCCTCCAGCCTGATACTACTTAAATACACTGTTGATGTGGCCTCCAGCCTGATACTACTTAACTCTTTCAACACCAGTCAACCAGAAGTGTTTACTGCTCGGACACCGAGTTCCCAGAGACTCTTGTGTGATAGATGAAGCCAACATTTATCAAAGAAAATATCTGCTTGTAAAATATATTTGCTGCAACATGTTATACATCATTTGAAAGGTCTGATCCTATGGTTTATAAATATGAAAGTTATGTTTTTCACATTATTTAAAATAATGCATTTACAACTTAATTAAGTTTGTTGTAAATAAAAAATGTAAGCTAACACGTTGTTAACATCCAGATTAAGGACCAAGCAAGTGAAAGCTTGACGATTTTTCGGCAAATATAAGATTTCATAAAATCCACTTACCTATTTCTGTTTTATTTTCATTGTTTACATAATTGGAAAATCATTTTAAAAAGAATTATAAATAGTTTCTGTCATCTCCCATTTCCCGATAACAGCGGCTGTCCACTCAGTAACATGAAGAAATACCCCCGTTTTGCTTCGTATGAATAACACGTTCGTCGAAGAATTGCATATGACACATCGCTGGAAAGCTTATTCCTTCATCTACACGCTTGTAACATCGCCTTGTTTTTTTTCGTAGTTATAACAAGCGATTTCATTGGATTAAAATTGGTTTCTAATGACGCTTTCTTGCCGAAATCTGCTACAAGTTTCGTGATTGGTCAATTTTGAGCAAGTGACCTAAGGTAGCCGATCAAATTACAGCTGTGATACCAAGCTCATGTTTGATAAATTTCAGAAGTTGGCGAATTTTTTTTGTTAAATCGTGTTACTCTGAAAGATTTAAGCAGGAAATCACGATATGGAACTTCGTGAATGTATCGTGCTAGGTTACGATCTGTGACAAAGATTTTTCATGCATATATTTTTGCATTAAACATCGTGTCCGAGCCGAGAATTCAAGGCGATGAAAGCCAAGATGTCATTTGACTTACATTACACGCAATCGCACAAAAAGATGGAAATGATAACTTAGATGTAAGTTTGATTACTTTTAGATATATATTTGTTGATTTTATTTATTACTTTGTATAATATATTTAAAGATTTGTTTAAAACGTCTTTATTTTGCTCTTTGACATGTTCGATGTGGACCCGTTTTCGAAATGTGTGTTGGAGAATTTTATTTTCAATAACATTGCGGGAAATAGTGAATAATTTTTTATTTTATCGATAAAAAATGATAAATTGAAATGGAATACATATTTCAGACATTGTGAAATGTGATAGATTTAATAAATGAATGATATTACAGGTAGGTCCATAAAAATATATACTATTTTGACGTGACTATGGCTTGGCCGGTTAAACGTCCTACGGTGTCTGGGGACTCGATGCTTCTTGGCCGGAAAACCGGCCTACGGTGTTGAAAGAGTTAAATACACTGTTGATGTGGCCTACACCCTATATTGTTGCTGTGGCCTACACCCTGATACTATTTAAATACAATGTTGATGTGGCCTCCAGCCTGATACTACCTAAATACACTGTTGATGTGGCCTCTAGCCTGATACTACTTAAATACACTGTTGATGTGGCCTCCAGCCTGATACTACATAAATACAATGTTGATGTGGCCTACACCCTGATACTACTTAAATACACTGTTGATATGGCCTCCAGCCTGATACTACTTAAATACAATGTTGATGTGGCCTACACCCTGATACTACTTAAATACAATGTGGATGTGGCCTCCAGCCTGATACTACTTAAATACACTGTTGATGTGGCCTCCAGCCTGATAGATACACTGATCCCGGTACATGTTGATAGAGATGGCTAACCTGGACTCGGAGTATATCGTCACTGTTTATGTCGGCTATAGACTGTTCTGGCAGCTCCCCAAGTTGTGTAATTAGCTCCACCAGGGCCCTTCCTCGGTATGCCACACCCTCACCCTGCAATTCATATAAACAAGGAGTCAGGCTGCACAGCTTAGGCAAAGCAGAACATAGAGATTATTTTACAAGATTATTATAAGAAACAATGTCATAGAATCAATATGACACACACGGGAGTGTAATATTATTTGATTAAATATCTTTAGCTCCCCCATAGTAAATGCACGGACCACGACCACCGTCTTAGAAAACGACAATTGTCAACAATCTTGTGAATCCTTCTGACCTTACATTCCAATAAAATTTGGATGACATCAACAATGTTGTCCTGATGACGTAAACAATACACTGGTGCTCTTGAAGTGATATTCTAATAGAGTACGTATGATTTATGTACTGTGTTATTTCTCATCCAATGGGAAATACCCTCAGGGAATATAGACTACATTGTACTGCCCACCTTGCCCAGATTCAGATCCTCATACTCATCGGGCAGGTCCGAATACTCCCTTGTTGACCCATAAAAGTTGACATAGCATGGTCCAAATGTGGGCAGGAAACCTACAGGACAAAGGTTACATGCAGTCAGAACCACAAACAGGTTTAGTTGATATGATACAGCATTTGTTGAAATATGAAAATAGTGAAAAGACTTTATCCATCATTTCGACATCTTACTATCTGATTATGCAACACAAATCCCATAATGAGATAACAATTGTTAAAAAATGGGAAAAATCTTTCTTTATAGGGATCATTCTTTGGCAGTATTCAGATTTCAAGTATGCATCATAAATTAATAGCTGTATTGAAGAGAAGTCTCTGATCCAGAGCTTAAGAGATCAAGGTCATTTCCTGTATAAAGGTCAATGTCTTGTTACAACATCAGTCAAGGAAAGCCATTACAATCAGCCATGCACTCTCACTGCAAGCTGTGTCCATGACTACTTGGGCTGGACTAGGTGTACAGGTGTAGTTGTGACTGTGTGTCGGACCTAGCTGTGCATGTGGAGTGGGGGTTCGAGGCATGCAGGACAGTTAATAGCTGTTACAGAACACCAAGCAGTCTCAAGTGGGACTTGTTTATAAGCATGTATGGCATATAGTTACACATCACTTGTAAAATACAGATGTGTAGAACACAGGATAAAGAAGATTTTCATTGGAGGCAAAATAGATACATAAACAATGATGAAAGGGGCTAGAAGTTATTGTAACCGAACCCAACTCAGAGTAACTACATTAAATTGAAAAACATGGTATTACAGAGGGAAAGGTTGATGCCACTCAAACAAAACTAACTACAGTAGTGTCCTCACTGATGTTAGGAATTCATTACATGAAACAGTTAGCATGCAGATGAGAATAAGGATAACATAATGTTGCACAGATGGAGCATGGAGAATTAGGATTTTGTTTAACACTGAGTACAGGAACATGTAAAGAAACAATGGAGACCAAGTTACCCTCATCCTTGTCTGCACAAATACAAACATAGTCACACATTAGACACACATCCTAAACAGGACATTATGTATGAAAGAAGTATCTTATTGTGCTGCATTAACTAATTACAGAAAACACTGAGACAAGAACACATCTTTACACATGCGATTAACCATAGAGCATAAATCAGCATATTGTTCAATTGACACAAAATATTGGTATGTAATGATTACATATTCACAACTTCTTTCTACAACAGATCTCCAAACAGAGCGAACTCCAGCTATCATCCATGGCTTACTGCATGTCATGTACTGGGAGGAGGGTATGTAGGTCTACATGTGTGGCTGCACAGAGCAAACTCCTGCTATCATCCATGGCTTACTGCATGTCATGTACAGGGAGGAGGGTATGTAGGTCTACATGTGTGGCTGCACAGAGCGAACTCCTGCTATCATCCATGGCTTACTGCATGTCATGTACTGGGAGGAGGGTATGTAGGTCTACATGTGTGGCTGCACAGAGCGAACTCCAGCTATCATCCATGGCTTACTGCATGTCATGTACAGGGAGGAGGGTATGTAGGTCTACATGTGTGGCTGCACAGAGCAAACTCCTGCTATCATCCATGGCTTACTGCATGTCATGTACAGGGAGGAGGGTATGTAGGTCTACATGTGTGGCTGCACAGAGCAAACTCCTGCTATCATCCATGGCTTACTGCATGTCATGTACAGGGAGGAGGGTATGTAGGTCTACATGTGTGGCTGCACAGAGCAAACTCCTGCTATCATCCATGGCTTACTGCATGTCATGTACTGGGAGGAGGGTTTGTAGGTCTACCTGTGTGGCTGCGGGTAGGGAGTGGATATGCTTCAAACTGCATAGAACTGTTATATCTAATCTATGCAGGATGCACATTCACAGAAAAAACAAAAATGCATTTTTGGGGTGCATCCTCTTCAGAACTACTGCAGGGGGAGAGTGTCAAGTGATGGGGCCGCTCAGTGTGGTCCAGAGAACTGTTGGAACACCTGCACAGTCAGGAGCAAGCATTTGGGTGCAGTTATGATTGATCTTCAAGAGTGATCAGGAAAAAGAGGCACAATAATAACATGAATACAACCTATGTACCATCTAAGTGCCTCATTGTTGATCAGGCAAGACAGCCATATGACTTACTTCATTGCCCAAACTTCCCCATAAACACCCTATATTTCCCCTAGCTGTGGGAACACAACATGGTTTTCACCAAAGCTAGTAATCTGAATAATAGTTGTGCAGGACCTACTTCCCTGTATAACTGGTACGTCTTTATAGTCTTTGCAGTTGCTGATAAATATGCGCTTTGAGGATAAAGGCTGATGTGTCATATTCTTTATGTGTGTAGTATTGCCTTTCATACTGTTGTAACCGTCATATGACAGTTTTCAGGAGGTTGTAACATTTATTCAGGAAAAGTTACAAATGTGCATGTCATGTGAGATGGCTGACTGCTAGAGAGCACATGTTGTATGTCACACACGAAGTCCCATGCATGTGACACACCTCGCACATGAAGCAAACAGTTACCTCTCTGCCAAGCAAATATACTACATGTTTTAAATTTACTTTAAGGTATTGGTTTTCCTTGGTGTCTTGTGTGTTTTCAGTTAGTTACAGCCTAACTAACCACAGTTTCAGAACTTCAGCTCTAACATTTACAAGCAGATATCTTTTGATAGTGCTGCCAAGGAAGACTTCTTCTTAATGAAGCCATTATGTGGTACTGATGGGGGACCTGTATGTGGTACTGATGGGGGCGGCCTGTATGTGGTACTGATGGGGGCTGCCTGTATGTGGTCCCCATGGGGGACCTGTATGTGGTCCTGATTGTGGCGGCCTGTATGTGGTCCCGATGGGGGCGGCCTGTATGTGGTCCCGATGGGGGCGGCCTGTATGTGGTACTGATGGTGGCTGCCTGTATGTGGTACTGATGGGGGCTGTCTGTATGTGGTACTGATGGGGGCGGCCTGTATGTGGTACTGATGGGGGCTGCCTGTATGTGGTACTGATGGGGGCTGCCTGTATGTGGTCCCCATGGGGGACCTGTATGTGGTCCTGATTGTGGCGGCCTGTATGTGGTCCCGATGGGGGCGGCCTGTATGTGGTACTGATGGTGGCTGCCTGTATGTGGTACTGATGGGGGCTGTCTGTATGTGGTACTGATGGGGGCGGCCTGTATGTGGTACTGATGGGGGCTGCCTGTATGTGGTACTGATGGGGGCTGCCTGTATGTGGTCCCCATGGGGGACCTGTATGTGGTCCTGATTGTGGCGGCCTGTATGTGGTCCCGATGGGGGCGGCCTGTATGTGGTACTGATGGTGGCTGCCTGTATGTGGTACTGATGGTGGCTGCCTGTATGTGGTCCCGATGGGGGCGGCCTGTATGTGGTACTGATGGGGACTGTCTGTATGTGGTACTGATGGGGGCTGCCTGTATGTGGTACTGATGGGGGCTGTCTGTATGTGGTACTGATGGGGGCTGTCTGTATGTGGTACTGATGGGGGCTGCCTGTATGTGGTACTGATGGGGGCTGCCTGTATGTGGTACTGATGGGGGCTGCCTGTATGTGGTACTGATGGGGGACCTGTATGTGGTACTGATGGGGGCGGCCTGTATGTGGTACTGATGGGGGCTGTCTGTATGTGGTACTGATGAGTGGCCTGTATGTGGTACTGATGGGGGCGGCCTGTATGTGGTACTGATGGGGGCTGTCTGTATGTGGTACTGATGGGGGCTGTCTGTATATGGTACTGATGGGGGCGGCCTGTATGTGGTACTGATGGGGGCTGCCTGTATGTGGTACTGATGGGGGCTGCCTATATGTGGTACTGATGGTGGCTGCCTGTATGTGGTACTGATGGTGGCTGCCTGTATGTGGTACTGATGGTGGCTGCCTGTATGTGGTACCGATGGGGTCGGCCTGTATGTGGTACCGATGGGGGCTGTCTGTATGTGGTACTGATGGTGGCTGTCTGTATGTGGTACTGACGGTGGCTGTCTGTATGTGGTACTGATGGTGGCTGTATGTATGTGATACTGATGGTGGCTGTCTGTATGTGGTACTGATGGGGGCTGTCTGTATGTGGTACTGATGGTGGCTGCCTGTATGTGGTACTGATGGTGGCTGCCTGTATGTGGTACTGATGGTGGCTGCCTGTATGTGGTACTGATGGGGGCTGTCTGTATGTGGTACTGATGGTGGCTGCCTGTATGTGGTACTGATGGGGGCTGCCTGTATGTGGTACTGATGGGGGCTGTCTGTATGTGGTACTGATGGGGGCGGCCTGTATGTGGTACTGATGGGGGCGGCCTGTATGTGGTACTGATGGTGGCTGCCTGTATGTGGTACTGATGGGGGCTGACTGTATGTGGTACTGATGGGGGCGGCCTGTATGTGGTACTGATGGGGGCGGCCTGTATGTGGTACTGATGGGGGCGGCCTGTATATGGTACTGATGGGGGCTGCCTGTATGTGGTACTGATGGGGGCTGTCTGTATGTGGTACTGATGGGGGCGGCCTGTATGTGGTACTGATGGGGGCTGCCTGTATGTGGTACTGATGGGGGCTGCCTGTATGTGGTACTGATGGGGGCTGTCTGTATGTGGTACTGATGGGGGCTGCCTGTATGTGGTACTGATGGGGGCTGCCTGTATGTGGTACTGATGGGGGACCTGTATGTGGTACTGATGGGGGCTGTCTGTATGTGGTACTGATGGGGGCTGTCTGTATGTGGTACTGATGGGGGACCTGTATGTGGTACTGATGGGGGCTGTCTGTATGTGGTACTGATGGTGGCTGCCTGTATGTGGTACTGATGGGGGCTGCCTGTATGTGGTACTGATGGTGGCTGCCTGTATGTGGTACTGATGGGGGCTGCCTGTATGTGGTACTGATGGGGGCTGTCTGTATGTGGTACTGATGGGGGCTGCCTGTATGTGGTACTGATGGGCTGCCTGTATGTGGTCCCGATGGGGGCGGCCTGTATGTGGTACTGATGGGGGACCTGTATGTGGTACTGATGGTGGCTGCCTGTATGTGGTACTGATGGGGGCTGTCTGTATGTGGTACTGATGGGGGCTGTCTGTATGTGGTACTGATGGGGGCTGCCTGTATGTGGTACTGATGGGGGACCTGTATGTGGTACTGATGGGGGCTGCCTGTATGTGGTACTGATGGTGGCTGTCTGTATGTGGTACTGATGGGGGCTGCCTGTATGTGGTACTGATGGGGGCTGTCTGTATGTGGTACTGATGGGGGCTGTCTGTATGTGGTACTGATGGTGGCTGCCTGTATGTGGTACTGATGGGGGCTGCCTGTATGTGGTACTGATGGGGGCTGCCTGTATGTGGTACTGATGGGGGCTGCCTGTATGTGGTACTGATGGGGGCTGTCTGTATGTGGTACTGATGGGGGCGGCCTGTATGTGGTACTGATGGGGGCGGCCTGTATGTGGTACTGATGGTGGCGGCCTGTATGTGGTACTGATGGGGGCTGCCTGTATGTGGTACTGATGGGGGCTGCCTGTATGTGGTACTGATGGGGGCTGTCTGTATGTGGTACTGATGGGGGCTGTCTGTATGTGGTACTGATGGGGGCTGTCTGTATGTGGTACTGATGGGGGCGGCCTGTATGTGGTACTGATGGGGGCGGCCTGTATGTGGTACTGATGGGGGCTGCCTGTATGTGGTACTGATGGTGGCTGCCTGTATGTGGTACTGATGGTGGCTGCCTGTATGTGGTACTGATGGGGGCTGTCTGTATGTGGTACTGATGGGGGCGGCCTGTATGTGGTCCCGATGGGGGCAGCCTGTATGTGGTACTGATGGGGGCGGCCTGTATGTGGTACTGATGGGGGACCTGTATGTGGTACTGATGGGGGACCTGTATGTGGTACTAATGGGGGCTGCCTGTATGTGGTACTGATGGGGGCTGTCTGTATGTGGTACTGATGGTGGCTGCCTGTATGTGGTACCGATGGGGGCGGCCTGTATGTGGTCCTGATTGTGGCGGTCTGTATGTGGTCCCGATGGGGGCGGCCTGTATGTGGTCCCGATGGGGGCGGCCTGTATGTGGTCCCGATGGGGGCAGCCTGTATGTTAGCCGGAGTTGCTATTCACCGAACACTCTCTCACCCATGTCACTGCCCTGCATTCAGCTGGGTCTAGTCACATGCACAACCACCAGTTTGTCAGAAGCCAAATGTCAGGAGAAATGTGACAGATGGTGCACATGGTGCAACTTTAACATGTGATTCTTAATTACTTCAAAAAAACACTGAAGATGTATGCATTATGCTGTCTGTATGTGGTACTGATGGGGGCTGTCTGTATGTGGTACTGATGGGGGCTGTCTGTATGTGGTACTGATGGGGGCGGCCTGTATGTGGTACTGATGGGGGCGGCCTGTATGTGGTACTGATGGTGGCTGACTGTATGTGGTACTGATGGGGGCTGCCTGTATGTGGTACTGATGGTGGCTGCCTGTATGTGGTACTGATGGTGGCTGCCTGTATGTGGTACTGATGGGGGCTGTCTGTATGTGGTACTGATGGGGGCGGCCTGTATGTGGTCCCGATGGGGGCAGCCTGTATGTGGTACTGATGGGGGCTGCCTGTATGTGGTACTGATGGGGGACCTGTATGTGGTACTGATGGGGGACCTGTATGTGGTACTAATGGGGGCTGCCTGTATGTGGTACTGATGGGGGCTGTCTGTATGTGGTACTGATGGTGGCTGCCTGTATGTGGTACCGATGGGGGCGGCCTGTATGTGGTCCTGATTGTGGCGGTCTGTATGTGGTCCCGATGGGGACAGCCTGTATGTGGTCCCGATGGGGGCGGCCTGTATGTGGTCCCGATGGGGGCGGCCTGTATGTGGTCCCGATGGGGGCGGCCTGTATGTGGTCCCGATGGGGGCAGCCTGTATGTTAGCCGGAGTTGCTATTCACCGAACACTCTCTCACCCATGTCACTGCCCTGCATTCAGCTGGGTCTAGTCACATGCACAACCACCAGTTTGTCAGAAGCCAAATGTCAGGAGAAATGTGACAGATGGTGCACATGGTGCAACTTTAACATGTGATTCTTAATTACTTCAAAAAAACACTGAAGATGTATGCATTATGCTGTCTGTATGTGGTACTGATGGGGGCTGTCTGTATGTGGTACTGATGGGGGCTGTCTGTATGTGGTACTGATGGGGGCGGCCTGTATGTGGTACTGATGGGGGCGGCCTGTATGTGGTACTGATGGTGGCTGACTGTATGTGGTACTGATGGGGGCTGCCTGTATGTGGTACTGATGGTGGCTGCCTGTATGTGGTACTGATGGTGGCTGCCTGTATGTGGTACTGATGGGGGCTGTCTGTATGTGGTACTGATGGGGGCGGCCTGTATGTGGTCCCGATGGGGGCAGCCTGTATGTGGTACTGATGGGGGCTGCCTGTATGTGGTACTGATGGGGGACCTGTATGTGGTACTGATGGGGGACCTGTATGTGGTACTAATGGGGGCTGCCTGTATGTGGTACTGATGGGGGCTGTCTGTATGTGGTACTGATGGTGGCTGCCTGTATGTGGTACCGATGGGGGCGGCCTGTATGTGGTCCTGATTGTGGCGGTCTGTATGTGGTCCCGATGGGGGCTGTCTGTATGTGGTACTGATGGGGGCGGCCTGTATGTGGTACTGATGGGGGCTGTCTGTATGTGGTACTGATGGGGGCGGCCTGTATGTGGTACTGATGGGGGCTGCCTGTATGTGGTACTGATGGGGGCTGCCTGTATGTGGTACTGATGGGGGCTGTCTGTATGTGGTACTGATGGGGGCTGCCTGTATGTGGTACTGATGGGGGCTGCCTGTATGTGGTACTGATGGGGGACCTGTATGTGGTACTGATGGGGGCTGTCTGTATGTGGTACTGATGGGGGCTGTCTGTATGTGGTACTGATGGGGGACCTGTATGTGGTACTGATGGGGGCTGTCTGTATGTGGTACTGATGGTGGCTGCCTGTATGTGGTACTGATGGGGGCTGCCTGTATGTGGTACTGATGGTGGCTGCCTGTATGTGGTACTGATGGGGGCTGCCTGTATGTGGTACTGATGGGGGCTGTCTGTATGTGGTACTGATGGGGGCTGCCTGTATGTGGTACTGATGGGCTGCCTGTATGTGGTCCCGATGGGGGCGGCCTGTATGTGGTACTGATGGGGGACCTGTATGTGGTACTGATGGTGGCTGCCTGTATGTGGTACTGATGGGGGCTGTCTGTATGTGGTACTGATGGGGGCTGTCTGTATGTGGTACTGATGGGGGCTGCCTGTATGTGGTACTGATGGGGGACCTGTATGTGGTACTGATGGGGGCTGCCTGTATGTGGTACTGATGGTGGCTGTCTGTATGTGGTACTGATGGGGGCTGCCTGTATGTGGTACTGATGGGGGCTGTCTGTATGTGGTACTGATGGGGGCTGTCTGTATGTGGTACTGATGGTGGCTGCCTGTATGTGGTACTGATGGGGGCTGCCTGTATGTGGTACTGATGGGGGCTGCCTGTATGTGGTACTGATGGGGGCTGCCTGTATGTGGTACTGATGGGGGCTGTCTGTATGTGGTACTGATGGGGGCGGCCTGTATGTGGTACTGATGGGGGCGGCCTGTATGTGGTACTGATGGTGGCGGCCTGTATGTGGTACTGATGGGGGCTGCCTGTATGTGGTACTGATGGGGGCTGCCTGTATGTGGTACTGATGGGGGCTGCCTGTATGTGGTACTGATGGGGGCTGTCTGTATGTGGTACTGATGGGGGCGGCCTGTATGTGGTACTGATGGGGGCGGCCTGTATGTGGTACTGATGGTGGCGGCCTGTATGTGGTACTGATGGGGGCTGCCTGTATGTGGTACTGATGGGGGCTGCCTGTATGTGGTACTGATGGGGGCTGTCTGTATGTGGTACTGATGGGGGCTGTCTGTATGTGGTACTGATGGGGGCTGTCTGTATGTGGTACTGATGGGGGCGGCCTGTATGTGGTCCCGATGGGGGCAGCCTGTATGTGGTACTGATGGGGGCGGCCTGTATGTGGTACTGATGGGGGACCTGTATGTGGTACTGATGGGGGACCTGTATGTGGTACTAATGGGGGCTGCCTGTATGTGGTACTGATGGGGGCTGTCTGTATGTGGTACTGATGGTGGCTGCCTGTATGTGGTACCGATGGGGGCGGCCTGTATGTGGTCCTGATTGTGGCGGTCTGTATGTGGTCCCGATGGGGGCGGCCTGTATGTGGTCCCGATGGGGGCGGCCTGTATGTGGTCCCGATGGGGGCAGCCTGTATGTTAGCCGGAGTTGCTATTCACCGAACACTCTCTCACCCATGTCACTGCCCTGCATTCAGCTGGGTCTAGTCACATGCACAACCACCAGTTTGTCAGAAGCCAAATGTCAGGAGAAATGTGACAGATGGTGCACATGGTGCAACTTTAACATGTGATTCTTAATTACTTCAAAAAAACACTGAAGATGTATGCATTATGCTGTCTGTATGTGGTACTGATGGGGGCTGTCTGTATGTGGTACTGATGGGGGCTGTCTGTATGTGGTACTGATGGGGGCGGCCTGTATGTGGTACTGATGGGGGCGGCCTGTATGTGGTACTGATGGTGGCTGACTGTATGTGGTACTGATGGGGGCTGCCTGTATGTGGTACTGATGGTGGCTGCCTGTATGTGGTACTGATGGTGGCTGCCTGTATGTGGTACTGATGGGGGCTGTCTGTATGTGGTACTGATGGGGGCGGCCTGTATGTGGTCCCGATGGGGGCAGCCTGTATGTGGTACTGATGGGGGCTGCCTGTATGTGGTACTGATGGGGGACCTGTATGTGGTACTGATGGGGGACCTGTATGTGGTACTAATGGGGGCTGCCTGTATGTGGTACTGATGGGGGCTGTCTGTATGTGGTACTGATGGTGGCTGCCTGTATGTGGTACCGATGGGGGCGGCCTGTATGTGGTCCTGATTGTGGCGGTCTGTATGTGGTCCCGATGGGGACAGCCTGTATGTGGTCCCGATGGGGGCGGCCTGTATGTGGTCCCGATGGGGGCGGCCTGTATGTGGTCCCGATGGGGGCGGCCTGTATGTGGTCCCGATGGGGGCAGCCTGTATGTTAGCCGGAGTTGCTATTCACCGAACACTCTCTCACCCATGTCACTGCCCTGCATTCAGCTGGGTCTAGTCACATGCACAACCACCAGTTTGTCAGAAGCCAAATGTCAGGAGAAATGTGACAGATGGTGCACATGGTGCAACTTTAACATGTGATTCTTAATTACTTCAAAAAAACACTGAAGATGTATGCATTATTCCTTTCATTTGTCATTTCAGTGGGAAACATTTGAGCTCAGAGTATCCAAATACCAATGGATCACTGCTTGGTTTCCCCAGCATGACTGCGGCATGTACAAGTAGGTGCGAGCAAGTGAGCTTGACATGGGGGAGAGAGGCCTGGAGTAAAGTATTCACCAGTGTCTCCTTGTGATGAAATTACTGATACTGGTAAACAGAATGTTCCAACGTTGTCATCTTCATTCAGTCGATCCCTGCAGTATGAACAAGGTATACACATTATATCTAATCAAGTTTGTTCATATATATTTGTTGTCAGTCATGTGGCTCAATCGGTCCCAGGGACACTACCATGTTGTCAGTCCAGTGGCCCTAATGGTCCCAGTGACACTACCATGATGTCAGTCAAGTGGCCCTATCGGTCCCAGGGACACTACCATGTTGTCAGTCCAGTGGCCCAAATGGTCCCAGTGACACTACCATGATGTCAGTCAAGTGGCTCTATCGGTCCCAGGGACACTACCATGTTGTCAGTCAAGTGGCTCTATGGGTCCCAAGGACACTACCATGTTGTCAGTCAAGTGGCTCTATCGGTCCCAGGGACACTACCATGTTGTCAGTCAAGTGGCCCAAATGGTCCCAGTGACACTACCATGATGTCAGTCAAGTGGCTCTATCGGTCCCAGGGACACTACCATGATGTCAGTCAAGTGGCTCTATGGGTCCCAAGGACACTACCATGTTGTCAGTCAAGTGGCCCTAATGGTCCCAGGGACACTACCATGTTGTCAGTCAAGTGGCTCTATCGGTCCCAGGGACACTACCATGTTGTCAGTCAAGTGGCTCTATCGGTCCCTGGGACAATACTATGTTGTCAGTCCAGTGGCTCTATGGGTCCCAGGGACACTACCATGTTGTCAGTCCAGTGGCTCTATCGGTCCAAGGGACACTACAATGTTGTCAGTCAAGTGGCTCTATCAGTCCCAGGGACACTACCATGTTGTCAAGAGTCATTTGCTCACATACATAAGTATGAACATGCTAAATAAGTGTTCATTTTCAGATGTCTAGAATAATACTGTTTTTTGTACAATTACAGTATCACTTTCACAGATTAAATCTTATGGTCTTATCTCAAACACATATTTGTTTTTAACATCAACATTTTTTTCATGAAATCAAAGGATAGTTCCAAAACTGGAAGTTTTACAGCATGAGTTTATATTACTATGGTAAGGAATATGCAAAAAATAATCAATTAAATGTTTGCTTGAATTATGAACGAAGACCCTGTCTCCAGTTGTTGACCACAATTATCCTGGCTGTAATGTAAACATGCGGAACAACAATACATACAGCAATGACACACAACACACACGCATGCCAGTCACATGGTTGTACAGTTATACAGACACACACTGTCAAACAGTCAGGGTGTCAGTAATTCCCTAGTACAGGCATGTCAGTCACATGGTTGTACAGTTATACAGACACACACTGTCAAACAGTCAGGGTGTCAGTAATTCCCTAGTACAGGCATGCCAGTCACATGGTTGTACAGTTATACAGACACACACTGTCAAACAGTCAGGGTGTCAGTAATTCCCTAGTACAGGCATGTCAGTCACATGGTTGTACAGTTATACAGACACACACTGTCAAACAGTCAGGGTGTCAGTAATTCCCTAGTACAGGCATGTCAGTCACATGGTTGTACAGTTATACAGACACACACTGTCAAACAGTCAGGGTGTCAGTAATTCCCTAGTACAGGCATGTCAGTCACATGGTTGTACAGTTATACAGACACACACTGTCAAACAGTCAGGGTGTCAGTAATTCCCTAGTACAGGCATGCAAGTCACATGGTTGTACAGTTATACAGACACACACTGTCAAACAGTCAGGGTGTCAGTAATTCCCTAGTACAGCATGCCAGTTACATGGTTGTACAGTTATACAGACACACACTGTCAAACAGTCAGGGTGTCAGTAATTCCCTAGTACAGGCATGCCAGTTACATGGTTGTACAGTTATACAGACACACACTGTCAAACAGTCAGGGTGTCAGTAATTCCCTAGTACAGGCATGTCAGTCACATGGTTGTACAGTTATACAGACACACACTGTCAAACAGTCAGGGTGTCAGTAATTCCCTAGTACAGGCATGTCAGTCACATGGTTGTACAGTTATACAGACACACACTGTCAAACAGTCAGGGTGTCAGTAATTCCCTAGTACAGGCATGTCAGTCACATGGTTGTACAGTTATACAGACACACACTGTCAAACAGTCAGGGTGTCAGTAATTCCCTAGTACATGCATGTCAGTCACATGGTTGTACAGTTAAACAGACACACACTGTCAAACATTCAGGGTGTCATTAGTCCCCTAGTCAGACAGGTACTCAACAGTTCTACCTACTGTGTGGCACTTAACACTTCAGCTAAACAGTCATGGTTTGGTTTGGTTTGGTTTGGTTTGTTGTTTTACGCCGCACTCAGCAATATTCCAGCTATATGCCGGCGGTCTGTAAATAATCGAGGCTGGACCTCATAAGCATCAATCCACGCAATTAGAATTGATTACATGCTTCAACGAAGTCAGCGAGCCTGACCACCCTATCCTCTTACGACAAGCATAGTCGCCTTTTACGTCATGGAATTGCTTGTCACACAACAAGAGAGAGTTACAACCATTACCAGTTTCTTTCTGTGATTCCAAGATAAACATTCTGTTGGGCAATCTCACATGAAAGTGAGACATACAGCTTGTAGAAATAATATAGAAAGAAGAAATATACACGAAGAAAGGCTGGATGTTAGAAGCACAAATGGAGCCCCATGCAATATTATAGATCTCAGTTTAGGAGGTATCATGTTGACCAAGCCAAGCAGGGATATACCACATGTCAAATATGACAACCATAAAGCTCTGCCCGGTCACTGAGCCACCACATTATTACAGGTTATTACAGACCCACAACATGCTACTGTATGTGAAGCTACCCTAGGGAGGAACAAGGTGTATGGGTGTGGGTTTGCTGATACATTCGGCAGCTACAGGGATACAGTCACTCCCGGACCTCCACACAACACCACCGCATCTCAGTGCAGCAGCAGCAGCAGCAGCTCAGTACTGGGGACACTGAGTTGTGCCCAGGGAGCACGGGTGAGGTGCGGGGTGTGGTGTGAAGGAGGGGGATTGGGACGACAAACAAAACCAACCCAGCTCCCCGGGAGCAGAAACTGAAGTGGTGTTGAGAATGCAGGAACAAATGGTATCATCATCGTTGACACGGTCCCTGTAGTCACAAGAAATATCAACAATACATAATCTTTAATAAGAACTATTTCATTCAATTTTATCGGAGATGGTATACATAAATGCAAACAGGCCAGCTGAGTTCAGTCTAGTACCAGTATCAAGACATACATCCATAAACAATTGGTGGATGAGATAGGATTTCAACATCGATCACTTTTCGATCACTCCTTAATCACTGAGGAGTTACAAAAATATGAAAACTAATAAAATGCAAATTTGGTAAATACATTGGCTGTATTAACTATACTCAAATCGTATGTTTGATTGGCATTCTAGAAGTTAAATAAATAACAAAATGTGTAACTGTTCAGTTTCTTATGGTATGTATTCTCTGGACACTGCAATCACCTAATGATGGGTACAAAGTCTTCTTGGAAACAGGTAACTCTTGGCAAAAGTGTTACTGACAAAAACTAAATATCCTGCAGTGTTCCCTCTGAACCTACACAAGTAACTTACTGACAAACTAACTCAGGCTGAAGGTAATGAGCAGCAGCTAGCTTACTTCACTGTCTAACAAACACACTGAAACACATCATAGATTCATTCTCCCGCAAAGAAAGCAAGCAAGGCCAAAACAATAAAAGAGGAAGATAAAGAAAATAGGCATGATAGCAACTGTTTAAAATTAAAAATTGAGATACCGGAAAACATTTCAGAGGATTTGCAAAGTCCAAATTGTGGGCCATCGGAGTCCCTTGCTGTGCCTTGTATAAAAAGTTATCTATTGTGTGCAAGAGGCCCAACATTTGGTCACCACATTCAGAATCATTTCATTCTTGAATTACAGAAGTAATACTTTTACATAATAGCACATGACACTTCAGGATGAGAGTTACAACGCATCCATAACCTAACTGATCAACATTTCAAAAGTAGAGATTTCAAGCATGAAAACATATCATTTCCTTGGATTGTGTAATTTCACACATGACACAAAGGTGTATGACCTGGTCCAACATTTGCAGATGTCAATGAAAACTTACCAGTCTCGGATCATGAACTTAATTCTCTCACACATGCTTGGAAACTGAAACAGACAACAGTTTCTTGCTACACATAGTCCAAGGCTAACTCACAGTACATAATAAGTCATCTTATGATTGTCGTGGCTGCAGAGTTAACTTCTACTCTCAGTGCACAATGAAAATCAGTCAATAAGGACAGTTGGTCACAGCTAGGGCACCTCGTCATTCTGACCTGGACTCCCCACAGTCCCTGCCTGGGGACCTAGGTATTCTGGCTTGGACAGTCTGCCTGGGGACCTAGTTATTCTGGCTTGGACAGTGTCTGCATGGGGACCTAGGTATTCTGGCTTGGACAGTGTCTGCATGGGGACCTAGGTATTATGGCTTGGACAGTCTGCCTGGGGACCTAGGTATTCTGGCTTGGACAGTCTGCCTGGGGACCTACTTATTCTGGCTTGGACAGTGTCTGCCTGGGGACCTAGTTATTCTGGCTTGGACAGTGTCTGCATGGGGACCTAGGTATTCTGGCTTGGACAGTCTGCCTGGGGACCTAGTTATTCTGGCTTGGACAGTGTCTGCATGGGGACCTAGTTATTCTGGCTTGGACAGTGTCTGCATGGGGACCTAGTTATTATGGCCTGGTCAGTGTCTGCCTGGGGACCTACTTATTCTGGCTTGGACAGTGTCTGCATGGGGACCTAGTTATTCTGGCTTGGACAGTGTCTGCATGGGGACCTAGGTATTCTGGCTTGGACAGTCTGCCTGGGGACCTAGTTATTCTGGCTTGGACAGTGTCTGCATGGGGACCTAGTTATTCTGGCCTGGTCAGTGTCTGCCTGGGTACCTAGTTATTCTGGCTTGGACAGTGTCTGCATGGGGACCTAGTTATTATGGCCTGGTCAGTGTCTGCCTGGGGACCTAGGTATTCTGGCTTGGTCAGTGTCTGCCTGGGGACCTAGCTATTCTGGCTTGGACAGTGTCTGCCTGGGGACCTAGCTATTCTGGCTTGAACAGTGTCTGCCTGGGGACCTAGGTATTCTGGCTTGGACAGTGTCTGCATGGGGACCTAGTTATTATGGCCTGGTCAGTGTCTGCCTGGGGACCTAGTTATTCTGGCTTGGTCAGTGTCTGCCTGGGGACCTAGCTATTCTGGCTTGGACAGTGTCTGCCTGGGGACCTAGCTATTCTGGCTTGAACAGTGTCTGCCTGGGGACCTAGGTATTCTGGCTTGAACAGTGTCTGCCTGGGGACCTCGTTTTTCTGGCTTGGACAGTGTCTGCCTGGGGACCTCGTTTTTCTGGCTTGGACAGTGTCTGCCTGGGGACCTCGTTTTTCTGGCTTGGACAGTGTCTGCCTGGGGACCTAGGTATTCTGGCTTGGACAGTGTCCGCATGGGAACCTAGGTATTCTGGCTTGGACAGTGTCTGCCTGGGGACCTAGGTATTCTGGCTTGGACAGTGTCTGCCTGGGGACCTAGCTATTCTGGCTTGGACAGTGTCTGCCTGGGGACCTAGCTATTCTGGCTTGGACAGTGTCTGCCTGGGGACCTAGCTATTCTGGCTTGGACAGTGTCTGCATGGGGACCTAGCTATACTGGCCTGGTCAGTGTCTGCCTGGGGACCTAGTTATTCTGGCTTGGGACTCCCAACAGTGTCTGCCTGGGGATCTAGCTATTCTGTCCTCGATAGTGACTGCCTGGGGACCTAGGTATTCTTGCCCGGACTCTGGACATGGTCAGCTTGTGAGAATAGCAACTGTATACCTGCAGTCCAAGCCGGAGCTCCTGGTTCCACTCGGGATGATCACAGCAGTACATGATCTTCGACTTCACCTGCAACCACAACATACTGATTACTCAAGGTCTGTCATCATGCAGATAGAAAATTATGATCATGTCCATTATTGGTGGCAGGAATAATAATTAAGATGTAAAACTAGTAACATCTAGATATTCTTTATATTTGTATCCTGCATTATTCTTTAATGACAGAAAGACAAAGCTGTGTGAAGGAGAAGAAGTTGTTCCTACTAGTTGTGCAGCCAATCCCATCACACAGCGCCCACGTGACCACAGAAGCGTGGACGTCACAGACCATCACATTACTGCTAGATCATAACATCTGAAGACATCGTAGGAAGTCGCTTTGTGCCGGGTGGGCCAGTAAGATGTAGTAATGCAGGATAAGTATACAAATATAAAAAATATCTAGATTTTTACAAGATTTTTTAACTTATCCTGCATTACTCCTTGATGCATCTTTATCGGACGGTACGGTGGAGAGCATACCTTCAGATGCAGTCCTCAGTGACATAAACCCTCCAGTAGTTTATGGCAGTCCTTGAGCGCATCACTTGTGCAGATCTGCAACAACTTCATCCAATCCTGTCCACAGATGGTAAGAGCGTATGAGAACGTCCCGGTAAAAAGCAGCAAGAGAAATTAGTGTGTGCTAGAAACTGATTTGCAACCAGAGGGCCAAGACTTTGTACGCCTTTGACATCTCCCATCAGGTAGTGGCTTGCGAAGACAGTGTCTGACCACAAAAATCATCCTTCCATGATGGCTCAAAGAGAGCAACTACTGTGCAGAGCGAACCGATCGAATCTCATGAGGGTTATCAGCTCTCAGCGGATCCAAGTTGGTGATTCCATAAGCCTGAAGGGTGATAACTCGCAACCACAATGTGGTGTGATGTTGGCTTTGGTTATGGAGGTCAGGGATACGGGAATGAAAAGGCATTCCGAGCCCCACGCAAAGTCTGTGATGGATATAACTCATAATGCACACACAGGGCAAAATAAGAGTTCTTCCTTGTATTTGGCTCCCACGATCGATGATAAAGGTGGAATGGAGAAAGACCGGTCTTGGCCTTCTGATCTTCAAGGCGCAATGAGCGTAATGGCAGTTCCGGGATCTTCCGGAACTGCCAACACCAAGCTAAGAGCCACCAATAAGGAAATGCGAAGTTAGATTTGTGTGAGGTAGGAAAATACATTTATACGAGGAACGGTACAATGTATTGAGCCAAAATTTTGTGGAGAGAACACTTGGTGATTGCAGTCACCTCAGTTATCGGTACATAGGAAAAGTCCAAGGTGAAGGTCAGCTACCATCAATAACGCATATGTCCCCCGTTGTAATTGATAGCAGCTTCCCATGGAAGAGACGAGTATGCCATGTTGTTGAAACTGATTCCATTGCACTACACTGAAAACCCTGGCTACAGCTGATCGGGATTCCCCTGTCTGCCAGCGGCCTATGACGTTGTTTCTTTGCACTTCTGTTAATCTTGGCATGTTGTTGAACTGTCACTGTTCGATTGACCCAGATGCCAGGCAATCAAAAACCCTGCATTTTGATACCGTTCATAGTGCTGCTGCACATGCAGTGCGTGCAGTTGCTTGGCCCTTTTGTTAATGCACTGGGTGCGTTTTTCTGAATCGTACGTGTTTCCTGACTAATGGTTTGCATGTCCTTGTTGTGATCATTTTGATCCGGTGGGAGATTTGTCACTGAAACTATAACACATTAAACCTCGTCATTTTGCACCTTTTGGTCTGCTAGTTTTGCTTTTATGGTAAAAAATATCCGTTTTGCGGAAGAGTATAGTAATGGTGCTGCCTTTCAGGTGTCGCTTGGTACACAGATAAAGGAAAATTCAGCCAAGAATTGAGGCAAGCAGTCATGGGGCCCTGATCCTTTCCTATACAAAAGGTTCCATGGGATTGCCACTTTTCATCATAAAGGTCTCCGGTTGACGGTCTATGCACCATAGCAATGGCCTTGGCTGCCCGTGCTGAGCTCTCTTAAGATGAACCAGGTGTGCAGATGAAAACTGCTAGGCTTCAGGTGTGGTAACCTGCTGTTCGGATGGATGAGTAGGTTGGACCACCCTGGTAGAGTTAGTGGATAGCTTCCTGCAAGACTTCTGAGGTCTGTGAACCACCTTCCCCCTGATCTTCTGCATCACCTTGTGAAGAAGTACTAGTGGCAGAATAGCATAAGCTCTTAGTCCTTTCCAAGGGATGCTAAATGTGTCTGCGGGTCTGGGATCGGGGAGAGATAAGTTGGGATGAGCTCGGTGCTGACATGGGAGAAGAAACACCTCAGGATGGAGCTTCCCTTCCAGACCTGGAGCTTCCCTTCGAGACCTGGATCTGCCAAAATGTTCCAACATCAGGGAATGTGCTGGACCAAAGCAAATTTACCAGATTGTAGAACTGGAACGACTGATGAAGGTGGGAGTGAGAGTGTGTCGTCCCCTGATTGACAAGGCTCCAAACTACCATGAAGTTGTCAGTGGAAAAGGCGAGTTGAGTGTACTGGAGGCGCTCCTTCCAGTGTGATAATGTCAATGAGTGCCTCCGAGGTTCTTGATGTGTCAAGGCGCCGTGCACCGGCCCACAGCCCTCAGGTCATCTGGACCTCAGGATGCACACCCCAACCTTGTAGAAATGCTTCTATGTACAGGTGGGATGTCGGGAATAATTCTGTTAAGGAGACACCTCCAAAGACATTCGACTCTACCGTCCACCAGTTGAGATGACTCCTGAGGTTAGGTGGTAGAGCAACGGATAAGCAAGGGTCTTGACGTCTTTTGTAAGGTGATCGTTTCCATCCCCTGGGCATTGTATAAGATGCTCCCATTCTCATATCGAGGTGACGATGAAGGGTGTTGCCTCATTACTCATGTTGGCATCAGAGGTCTACTGAAGTTAACATTCATGTACAGCGACAGGAGTCTGATTGAGTGGATGCAGCATTACGTACAAGTAAGCATGCAAACCAACCTGTACACATACACTTCATGGTTAGCATAAGGTCAGTTGACCTAATTCCGGTTAGGTATATTTACAGTCAGAAAGTTCTTGACATGTGACATTTAAATCACCCTGTGCAGTAACCTAGAATCCCGCATTTTGCCGAGACGAGATTCAAGCTCCACACACAGACAATCCCCTGTGAACAGTGTGGTAGACAGACAAGTGGTGTTTCCGAGTTCAGTGTAGAATGTGTGACGTGGCTGGTGTAGGAGCAAGTTGATCTCCATGATACTTGTGACGCCTGGTCCTGTCTTGTGAACGTCGATCCCGCGAGGTGGGTACCTGGTAGTATATGACGATACTGTCAAATGGCTAACCGATCATGAATTTGTGATGACTATCAAATTTGGTGCAGATCATGTCTACCAGAAGCCACATGAAACCACATGAAACACATTCTCGTGGAATCATTCAGCCAACGTCGATTAGACAGGGAGATATTGGGGGGAACCCTCACCATGGGGCCAGGCGCTGCCAAGGGCTTAGGATACTTCAGACCATTGCATGAAAGCCAAATCAGGTGTCTAGTATCTGGATAGTTGTTGGTTTAGACAACCCAGCCATACAATGGAGATCCTCATCCCGGATGTGTGCCCAGTCCACCATATCCAAAGCATGGATTGGGAAATTGTCCCTCCTAAACCCAGGAACCTTCAACGCCAACGATAAAGATAATATCACAAATTCTTCATCCAATGCTGAGACCAGATCCTTTAGCATTGGTTCCGGCGAAATGGAGGTAGACTTGGACTTGGTGAAGGCGCAACCTAATTCAGGTGGTCTGCTATCCAATCCGGCATCTGGGTAAGGCTGGGATGGGTGTCCCACTCAGAGAATATCTCAAAATCCTCTACCAAGGATGAATCTGAGTGGTAGTGCTGCGAGCGGCGGATAGGTGAACGGCTTCTGGACCAGCGCTTGAAGCGAGCTGACTTAAAAGATTGCTTGGAGGAAACACCCCCAATGACCCATGTGATGATGGAACCCAAGAGGAAGAGGGTGTACCCAAACAAGGCGACATAGAAAGCACCGGTAGTGCAGCAGAAGCTTTGTGAACCAGAGGCGCTGGCGGGTGTGTAAGAGGCTGCATCATCTGCAACCAGGTGGGATTCCCATACGTAGCCTGGAGGAGCTGTCGAGGCGTCTGCTGGAATGGCAGAAGGCTGAATCCCAGAGGCGCCAGCACCAACAGCACCGTGTAGCTGCTCAGGAGCTGTGAGCTGTGAGCGGCGCTTCCAAGAAACCCACAGGTACTTGGAGAAGGCTTTGGGAGAGATGGGTATACAAAAGCTACACTTAGCATCTGTTTTCAAATATCGGAACAGTCCAGACACTAAGGGTGGGGTGGGGGTCACAGCCCAACTTGTAACCATGGCACTGAGTACAACATGACATTAATCAGCAATGAAGCAGAAGTTGTAATCATAGTGAGTTCACTCCTCGATCAGATTAAAAGGATAAGATTACGCAAGGGAAAGTGAATAAAATATGTTTGATATTTACTGTGACAAAAAGCCACCATCAGGCATTAAATATTAATGCAATTGCAAAAATAGTAATCAAGACATGAAATCACAAACCAGAAGAAGGATATAAATCACAAAAAATACAAATAGTGTTGGATGTCAATGGATTGGAGCTCGAGAACTCCAACAGGACTGTTCCGTCTAACTGACAGCAGTAGTGTGATGGTGTGTGACGTCATCATGTACATGGTCATGTGGGAGCAACTAGCTGGAACAATGTCTTCTTCAGCTGGTCCTTTCAGAACCTCGCCTTTCTTTCAAAGCACCGCGGTATATGCATTAAAAAGAAATGCAGGATAAGTTTAAAAATTGTGTTATTTTTTAATTTCAAAATATGTACACAACATTCCTCTTGTACAGGTAGACCAGGGTAGCTTAATGTTGTCTCGTATTTGGGTGGAAAAGAAAGGAACATCTCAAATGTTTTAATGGAAAATGTACCACAATTGTAAAGAACACGAGAATTACTGGACAAGATTTCAGTTGAAATTTCAAAAAGAAGATTAATTTCAACTGGAACAAAATATATATAATCAGAACCCCTATGGGTCGATCTTCAACCCAATAACAATCATAAACCCATCTGCTACCCTCTTTGAGTCTATGTACAATACAGACAAGCACTGACCTCCTTCCCTGCAAAGGAGAAGACGAAGTAGGGGTCAACCAGCTCCTTCTGTTCCTCGCCGATGTTGAAAACTTTCTTCACTCCCTCCATGAAGGCCGAGTCCACTGTAACAGAAACACAGACACTGCTTACCCGCCACTCCCTTGCACACCCAACACAGGGCCATTGTGTGCATATCAACGTAGATTGGCATGAACATGATTTGGTAAGTTTACCAATAGATTTACAAATACTGTGTTAAAATCATGTTGCTTGTAAGTGTTGGTAACTGAATTGTTCATATTCCTCAGTTTGATCAGAAGTCACGTTCTGTTTATGAATCCTATATGTGATCAGCAGCTTACTTCTGGGTATGTCCTCAGCACGGTAGAGACGCAGCAAGAAGGTGGCCGGGCGTAGCTGTACACCCGCTGGGCGCAACAGGTTGCTGGGGATACATTATTTAATAAAACTACACATTCTCCAACATATTATTTAATAAAACTGCAATCCTTCAAAATATCACTCAATAACACTACACATCCTTCAAAATATTACTCAATAATACTACACATCCTTCAAAATATTACTCAATAATACTACTCATTCTCCAACATATTATTTAATAAAACTGCAATCCTTCAAAATATCACTCAACAAGCATGAAATACTCACATCCCCCGCCAATATGATATGTCCGGTTGTGTGCAATGCATTAACTCCTGTGAACTATGTTCACTGGACCTTTTAGTAATGGAAATAGGAAATAGGCTGGTTCAGGTGCCCCTGTTCATGTTACCGATACGCACTGCGAGGAAGTAGGCTGGTTCAGGTGCCCCTGTTCATGTTACCGATACCCAATGTGAGGAAGTAGGCTGGTTCAGGTGCCCCTGTTCATGTTACCGATACCCACTGCGAGGAAGTAGGCTGGCTCGGGTGCCCCTGTTCATGTTACCGGTACCCACTGTGAGGAAGTAGGCTGGTTCAGGTGCCCCTGTTCATGTTACCGATACCCAATGCGAGGAAGTAGGCTGGTTCAGGTGCCCCTGTTCATGTTACCGATACCCACTGTGAGGAAGTAGGCTGGTTCAGGTGCCCCTGTTCATGTTACCGATACCCAATGCGAGGAAGTAGGCTGGTTCAGGTGCCCCTGTTCATGTTACCGATACCCACTGTGAGGAAGTAGGCTGGTTCAGGTGCCCCTGTTCATGTTACCGATACCCACTGTGAGGAAGTAGGCTGGTTCAGGTGCCCCTGTTCATGTTACCGATACCCAATGCGAGGAAGTAGGCTGGTTCAGGTGCCCCTGTTCATGTTACCGATACCCAATGCGAGGAAGTAGGCTGGTTCAGGTGCCCCTGTTCATGTTACCGGTACCCACTGCGAGGAAGTAGGCTGGTTCAGGTGCCCCTGTTCATGTTACCGATACCCACTGTGAGGAAGTAGGCTGGTTCAGGTGCCCCTGTTCATGTTACCGATACCCACTGTGAGGAAGTAGGCTGGTTCAGGTGCCCCTGTTCATGTTACCGATACCCACTGCGAGGAAGTAGGCTGGTTCAGGTGCCCCTGTTCATGTTACCGATACCCAATGCGAGGAAGTAGGCTGGTTCAGGTGCCCCTGTTCATGTTACCGGTACCCACTGCAAGGAAGTAGGCTGGTTCAGGTGCCCCTGTTCATGTTACCGATACCCACTGTGAGGAAGTAGGCTGGTTCAGGTGCCCCTGTTCATGTTACCGATACCCACTGTGAGGAAGTAGGCTGGTTCAGGTGCCCCTGTTCATGTTACCGATACCCAATGCGAGGAAGTAGGCTGGCTCGGGTGCCCCTGTTCATGTTACCGGTACCCACTGTGAGGAAGTAGGCTGGTTCAGGTGCCCCTGTTCATGTTACCAGTACCCACTGTGAGGAAGTAGGCTGGTTCAGGGGCCCCTGTTCATGTTACCGATACCCAATGCGAGGAAGTAGGCTGGTTCAGGTGCCCCTGTTCATGTTACCGATACCCAATGCGAGGAAGTAGGCTGGTTCAGGTGCCCCTGTTCATGTTACCGGTACCAACTGCAAGGAAGTAGGCTGGTTCAGGTGCCCCTGTTCATGTTACCGATACCCACTGTGAGGAAGTAGGCTGGTTCAGGTGCCCCTGTTCATGTTACCGATACCCACTGTGAGGAAGTAGGCTGGTTCAGGTGCCCCTGTTCATGTTACCGATACCCAATGCGAGGAAGTAGGCTGGCTCGGGTGCCCCTGTTCATGTTACCGGTACCCACTGTGAGGAAGTAGGCTGGTTCAGGTGCCCCTGTTCATGTTACCAGTACCCACTGTGAGGAAGTAGGCTGGTTCAGGTGCCCCTGTTCATGTTACCGATACCCACTGTGAGGAAGTAGGCTGGTTCGGGTGCCACTTGTAAATTGTGTTTTCACAATAATTCACCATATTCCTTGTCAAAGTCCCTTTGTCAAGTGGTATACATCTTAATTAGGTTATTATGGTAACGGTTCTCAGACAACCCTGTGTAGATGTTTTAGTAGAATATGTAAACAGTTTCCGAGTTATGCTCTTGCTAAGGAAACATTTGTAAAAACTCCCAAACTATCAAAAGGCATGGTTTTCAAGATACTACCCATTCTCCAACATATTATTTAATAAAACTGCAATCCTTCAAAATATCACTCAATAACACTACACATTCTTCAACATATTATTTAACAACACTTCACATTCTTCAACATATTATTTAACAAGCATGAAATACTCACATTCCCCGCCAGTATGACATGTCGGGGGTGTGCAGTGCATTAGCTCCAAATTTTTTTTAAAAATTCCTTAACTATCAAAAGGCACCAGTTCACCACTAGAAACGAAGACTACCGCCATTTTCAGTCTAAATCAAAGTTGTTGCCATGGAAACTTGAAAATTAACTTTTTTTAAATTCCCAAACTATCCAAAGGCACCAGTTCACCACTAGATCTATCTATGTGCCAAGTTTGGTGAAGAAATATGGTACGGTTTTCAAGATCTGCTCCGGAAACGAGGACTACCGCCATTTTCAGTCTAAATCAAAGTTGTTGCCATGGAAACTCGAAAAATAACCTTTTTTTAAAATCCAAAACTATCAAAAGGCACCAGTTCACCACTAGATCTATCTATGTGCCAAGTTTGGTGAAGAAATATGGTACGGTTTTCAAGATCTGCTCCGGAAACGAAATGTGACGGAAGGACGGACGGACGTCACCCATTCCTATATCCCCCTTCCACTTCGTGGCGGGGGATAATAACACTACACATCCTTCAACATTATTAACAACACTACACATCCTTCAACATATTTAATAACACTACACATCCTTCAACATATTATTTAATAACACTACACATCCTTCAACATATTATTTAACAACACTACACATTCTTCAACATATTTAACTAGAAAGTGTTTTTACTCGTAAAAACATATGTCTCCCCCCACTCCCCTAACCCCCATTCATTCGTTTACTTCACGTTAAACCCCATCTCTTCATTCCCACCCTCCATTACTAAATAACAGTGACAAAAATAGAACTCCTAGAAATTTCAAACAACTAATGGGCACCACTTCAGGACTTGGTTAATATGTTACAACTTCATGAAATAATATTGAACAGTTTTTGAGTTATGGTCCGGAAACAAAGCTTACCCCCATTCAGAGTCTATGTTCAAGTTATCTCCATGGAAACGAGAAAAAATAAAAATGTCAAAAATCTCTAAATAGCAAAAGGCACCACTTCAGTGCTGGGTTAATGTGTATACAAAGTTTCGCGAAAAAATATTAAACGGTTTCTGAGTTATGGTCCGGAAACGGTGGGAACGCCGACGCCGACGCCAACGCCGACGCCAACACCGACGCCGACGGGAACCGTGCCAAAAACAATATGTCTCCCTCCATTCTGGGGGAGACATAATAACACAACACATCCTTCAACATATTATTTAACAACACTACACATCCTTCAACATATTATTTAATAACACCAAATTATTTCTACATAAATACTGAGAACTAAAAAGTAACACTTAAATCTAATGCTTGAAACAAAATATGATGTTGTCATAAGGAGAAAAAGACATGCCAAAGCTCAGCTCCTCCTTTGCAGAAAAGATGTTTACAGAGCCAATATGAATTTTTGAGTTAATACAAGAGCATGACAATAACCAGGTCAAATTTTTAAATATTGCAAAGACAGAATGTACGATTGAGTCCCAAAATTAACATCACATTTTGCTCAAACATATCCCAGGGTTTTTTTTGCTGTGGTGGCCATATTGAGTGAGTGAGTGAGTTGGGTTTTAGGAAGCTATGAACAGTATTTCAGCTATATCACAGTGTGTCAGCTTGATGTGGGAGGAAAGCCCCAAGAGATGCAAGACTTAGATGTTCACCACTTTGGTGAAACCTACAAGCACTGGTATGGTGCTGACAAACCTAGAAACATAATCCTGGGCCACCTGTGCACAAGGCCATATTTGAATTGGGATCAAACTTCTTGAACAAATTCAGGTGACATCAGAGAATAATTATGTGAAGATTCATTGGTCCAGTGGTTTCAGAGGAGAGGATGTTTTAGTGAAAGGGAATGCATTTCGAAAGAATTTAGGAGCATGGTCAAAGGTCAAAGTTTAAAATATTTCAATATATGCAACATATATGTTGACCCAGACTACTTACTACACATGTACAACTGTAATGATATTTTGTACCAAAATGACAGAATAATGGCCCTAATAGGTTTTGCAATATGGCTGCTGTGGATCATTTGTGGGAACAAGTATGTGAAATTTCAACTTTGGTTCAGTGGTTAATGAGGAGACTATGTTTTCCATAGACACTGGACAAACAGTCCATGACATAATCTCACTTGACTTTCAGTCAGGTGATATTACAACTCATTTTAACAGGTGTTAATAGATCTACATTCACACACAGGCATTCAGGAGACCGGGATTGGCAAGGACAAAGAAATACAAATACCTACCTCTCAATGTCCTCATCCTCATCTGCTGATGTTGATTTCATACTCTAAACAAAGCACACACCAGAACATCATAAATCTCATGGAAATGATTTGATGCAACTTCAATTTAAGATACAAATATTAAGCTGTGGGTTTGGTCTGTCCTTATTCCTTATACTTAGAAAGCAAGATATACCAGTCTTTTATCTGTTTCATAACACTATGCAGCCAAGTCAAGTTTTAAGTATTTGTATATATTCGTTTGATATTTTAGATGTTTCATTCAGCTTTTAAATTGAAATGAAATTTTAATTCATTTAAATTTAAACTGTATCGTATAGCATCAATACAGTATGTTATTTAGTTAAATATGGTTATACTGGTATAAACTTAACTAAACCAAATTATAATTCAAACATTTCCTAAGCCTATAACTGTATGAATGTGGTATGGAATAAGAACGAATGTAACTTATTTTCTATGGCCATTATTAGTCTTGTCAAGGCCTTAGTTCAACTTATTATAGAATGATGTCATGTGACCTTACCCTTGAACTTGACTGTGCACCTAGTGTTGAGCTCATTGCCACACAGTGGTAAGTGGGGAATATACAGAGGTTATCACGCGAGTGTGTTTGGGGATGGTAAATATCCTGCATTAGGAATAAACATTGTATTTAGCGAGCCTTGGCGAGCTAAATACATAGTGTTTATTCCTAATACAGGATATTTACCATCCCCAAACACACAAGCGTGATAACCTCTTTATCATATAATGTCATTCTTTAATTCTGTGCTTCAAAATCACTTTCCCTCTCTCACAAACATTACCAACAGTTTTCCTGGAACGCGGGCATTAATATTTATTACGTCACAGGGTAAGTGATGTGTCAGTCGGACAGTGACAGTAGCCAATATAGTTCCAACTGAAATTTGTTTCTTTTACAGTGGCGAAGCACCATATACGCAAAACAACAATTGTTTTTAATTGCCTTTCGTGGCAATCCATCGGTCTGTCCGCTAGAGTAACTGCCCTTTGTCAAAGGGAAGCTACTCAAACCCTTGTCTATGAGACGTCACGGCCATGGTCAGACGTTGACAGTCGCTCTGTCCTGTCATAACGACGCCATGTTTGTTTATAAACAGTGAAAGTAGTCCCTACTTGACCTTTGATATTTGCATCTCTATCCGCATATGACCCCAACGGATATCGTTTTTATCCGTTGGCTTTATCCTGCCGAGAAACCTACCCATTATATGATAAAATTGTGTATATGGATTGTTACATATTTTATTATTTATATTGGTAATATTTCTTTATGGTGAGAAATGTGGACATCAATCATAAATTATATTTATTCAGATATCATGCCTACTATCTATATCTACTCGTTACCTTTGTATTGAGATAATTATGTGTAATCATGGAACTGATTTATTGAACACCACACACTGTTAGAGTGCCTGGTCAGATAATACTTGCATGAAAGGAAGCTTTATCTGCAGTACAAGAGCACCTACTGTGGTTGTAAACAATAAAAGAAGTGACACCAATACACTACTCAGTTTACAGTGATGTGTAAAAAGGCTATTTAAACATACCGTATTCGATCTAATAAGCGCCCACGGCGATATTTGCTTTTATATTGGCTAGTGAACAATCTCATTTAGCACCCTTTCCGATTGATCAATGTACATAAGATTTATTTATTTTGCGTATAATACGCACTCGTGTGCTACATGCACACTTAATTATGGGCGATTATATTCTGGAAAAATATATCTGTCATATATAAACATTTCAGGCTGTATAAACCACAAAATTTATCTTTCAACTCTGTTTTTTTCACCAAAGTAATATTCTAATAAGAGCCCCCTATTACTAATTTTGAGTGCGCCCTGGGCGCTTATTACGTCGAATACGGTATATGAAAGGAGGGATAATGGTCAAAACTTTGTTTATCAACATGGTTGCATTGAAACATACAAAACATTAAAAGGAGAGTATTTGTATGATCACCTATGCATGTTGTATTTTTATTTATTTTTTTATTTTAGAGATCTTGAACCCATTCTCTTTGTCACATTTTTTACATCTACAATCCCTATTAACCATCTAACAATAGAGCACCTGTTTGGTCGGGGATGCCCCCACACCTTGTCTTGATACACCCAGTAGCTAGGGAGAAGATATTAACGGTAAAAGAACCTTGTGTTTTTGATGACATAGATAATCAATAACTCTAAAAGCAAATTTTGCACTTCAACACAGATGACTTTAATGTCAGCTTTCCTATGAAGGTAAAGGCTTATAATGTATAATGTATGTATAATATATGTATAATGTATGTATAATATATGTATAAGGTATGCTCAGTTGATCAGCCTGTGTTGACATAGATTTGCTTTGCCAAATAAAAACACTTCACCATACCTTACCAGGGAAAGATGGACTTAGGTTACATCTCAAATATAATGAAATTTAAATTGTAAACATCTAACTATTCTCCTTTAGAATCAATATTGCCCCCCAAAAGAGGTAACAACTAACAAAGAATCTAGCTATTTTTATAATATGTTACTACAATACTCCTGATAGCTGCTTCTGTGTGGCCTCATGTCAGCACCTAGTGGAAAGTGATGCAGCCCCACTCAGCATGCCCTTACCGGTGCCTCATCCCCAGGCCCAAGCACCACAGCACACATCTTGAGATAGCCCTTGGCCCCTGCCATGGAGTCCTCGGGGTCACTGAGCAGCAGCCACTTGTTGATGAATGCATGTTGTGGGGCGTCATACACCAGTCCAATGTCGCACTGCAACCACAAGACACACCGATAGTACTGACTAGTGGGGAAGTACATCAACATCAACATATATCTATACTGACATTAACCTTCAGCCATTGACTCTGCATGTAGCTCAGCTGTTGGCCTGGTGCGCCGATACACTAACAACACCATGTTGTCAAATACAATGCTTCAGTTTCTTTCCATACTCAGCATACAACATGTTCATGCATATGCAAATATTGTTATCTGTATCTCAAATTTGGAAATAAGGGGAAATTTGTTCTTAGACCACAAGCTATACTGAAGACTCAGCCAATCAGGGGAAATTTGTTGTTCGGGCCACTGGATATACTAACTAATGTCAAGATAGTATTGATGATCTACTTCTCAATTAAAATTTTAGCAACTATCTGGTGTAGATTCTTAAACCAACTTTTTTATTTAGTCAGCTGTATGATATTGAAATGTTGCATAGAAGCAGTGTGTCAGATAATATCAATATCAGTTTAGTAGTTGTTCGAACCCATGTAAGAACATCATCACATACACCAAAATATCTCTCGAAGAGTACAAACCTTAAAAGATCCAATGAGAGCATCTGATCGTAGTTTCCTGGAGTTGAATACCTGCAACAGACAAAAGGAGTCAAAATTTTAGTGCAACTTGCATGTATGTAGCAGATGTATAGGAAAATCACTTGAGTTGAATACATTTTCAAAAACAGGGGCCAAAGAATTTGAGAGAAATTTCCTGACCTGAAATTCTATGAGTTCATCAAATAACTCTGCTGGAGATGCATGGAAGTTGAAAAAGAAGGACTCATTCCAAAAAGGACTGTTGGTTGACTTCTTGACACGTGTCTGTTTGGTCTGGTTGAAGGTTGTGACACGGGAGACAGGCTGGATGTTGGCACCTTGTAGCTGACGGGCCTCAATCACCTTGATGCGGATCTGCAACAAGCATCATACATGTTAATGCTGCACAAATAACCCATTACCACTATCATGATTTCATGTCTAAACAAACATTTGTTCCCTGTAATATGCACTGTAGTTGAAGGTCAGTGGCACATTTTGGTCCTTGTGTGACAGACATCTCATATATAGCAATGGAAGACGCCAAAACTGCAGCTTGAAATCGTACTTGGACAAGTTGCAGTACCAGAACTTGAAGGCCTTCTGAGGGTCAGACAATGTTATCACAAGAGACATGAAGTATGATGTTCTGCTTCATTGATATGTAGCGTAAAGAAAGATCTTCAACAAAACTATCTGTGAAATAATTACTATTAAATAGTTAAGAAGGTTCCCATGGAAGGGACGCAGTAGACAAACATGATCAAGTAAAGAAAGTATGGTAACAAGTGAAAGGATGAACTTGTAAACAAAAGATGAATCTTTTACTATATTTATGTTGTGTCTGTATCTACATCTCTTAACAAAAAAGGGCACATAAAAAGTATAGTATCTTTATAGATAGTAGATATTTCATTTGAGGTACTGACATCATCTGGGCCATGATGGTTTCTGTGTAGCTCTGGGCCTAGAAACGATCGCAGCCCTAAAATTATCGTAAAGTTTTGGTGAAGACATCGAAGGCTATCGTAGCCTATTTTTTAAACTATCGTAGCCCTAAGTAACATATAGTCTACTTTACGTCCAAACATTGACATTCCATTTTGTTAAACTGTGTGATTTAAATTGACACTTCAAAAACACGAGAACGCATCAAAGATTTAACATCAGAAATGTCCTTTATCGTGAAAGTGATCCACATAACGATAGAGCCTATAACTTACAAAATATTTCTATCCAAGTCCATGCTGAAGAAGTGTGAAACAACATACCTTTTATAATAATTTTGGGAAGGATAAAAACGGAAGGTATCAGAAGGCTATAGTAATGGCCGTGACCGTATTGATAACTCAGGGTCTAATCTTAGTTCATACACTAGTTGAGAGTGGTTTCCCTTTGTGATCGCCCAGCGAGATCTTGCTCAATGTGTCCATTTTCATAAAGTGTGGTGTTCTGCTGTCACAGTGTTTCTTGATCGAATTTATGTAAATGCTTTAGTCTTTATTTTAATGGTTTTAACAATTGAATTTTAACTTTACAGTGTAGTATTTCTTGATTTGACAAGGAAATACATGTGATCAGATATTTTGTATAGTATATTTGTATAAAGAGTACATTTCATATTTTTCCAGCCAAAGTAATTGTACTTTGTTTTGTTTTAAAAACAACACCTAGGTTATATATATTATTGAAAGACAAATATTTGATATCAAGTGATTAAATATTATCTGTTGAACATTTGCATGCTTCAAAAACAGGGGCTTAACGGCATAGATGTATTCCATTAAATATTGCAATTTATTGAAATTGTGACAGCAAAAGGTAAGCACAGATTTTCGTATCATATTTTAGAGAATGACGATTTGCAAAATCAAATTTTAAAAAATGGAATCCCATGCTTGTTTGGATTTAAAATGTTGTCAAAAAGTGGGATATATTGAACATTGTCCAAAATTCACTTTCCAATATATATTTGCAGAAATATGAAATAGACATTTTCACCACAATAATCTCACACATTTACAATGAAGCTATTTCGCTCCTCAGACAGATAAAAATTAAATCAGACAAATCAGTTTATTAGCTCTACTGAATTTAAAAGGATAGAAAAGGACTACATTATATGTATGTTCGTGTTCCATGAGACAACATAACTTGACAATTCCTAAATATCTCCTGTGTGAACGAAAATTAGTGTCCCTTTCAAATTTGGAAAAGAATTATGGATCTTGAAAGATACAAAAATAATTACATCATCTAAATACAAAAAGCTTGATATTGTATTTGAGTCTTTTGTTTAATCGTGAAATATATTGGATATAAACATGACAAACTTATCAAGCATACAGTGCTGCTTCATGAATTTTTTGTTTTGAATGTTTCCAGGTATAATGTTGGTGTTTGTTCTATACACCCGACTTTTGACATAAACACATAAAACATGCAGCATTGTCAAATTGACCCCATATACACCATGTAACATCAGACTTGATCACGCATCTGAAATGCTGAACGCCTGCTGTTCGATCAAAGGTCTCACCTAGTCATTGTCATTTAGAATAACGTCCCTTACTTTCGTCCTTGACTTTGTATGCGATGTTTACATAAAGTTCCATGTCCACGAGAGCACCAGTTGAAGGGAAAATAGTTAAGTATCTTTTTGCGTGTTATTTCAATTCTAATAGCTATAGTGTGCATGGTTACACTACACTTATTGATTATAACATTTATTGGGTTTGAAAAATGCCTGGCACATGAATGCTATTTGTGTTTGGGTAGTCATGGCATCTTTTATCATACGACCAAAATGTCTACATGTAGGTCATATGTAGGATTGTACGGAATGTCATTCAAATTGTTGCGTGTCAAACAGAGTGACCTGACAATGTGATCATGAACTCCGGGTCACTTTTCCATGTTGTTGTTATTGTCAGTGGCTGGGAAATCCCTGTGACATCACTGGGAAACACCCCGCTTTTAAAATCTCTGACACAAATGAGTTCTCTGTCAGAGTTACGATAGGTATCGTAACCTTGTACAATCTGCGACATATTTAAAATAGTTTCGAAAATGTATCTTATATTAAACTTAAGATATCACATCTTTAAACGTAAGTTGTTTAGATTAATCGTAGCTAAGATCATTTGTAAAATCTAGACCCTGATCCTTTTAAAGTAAGTCTGTAGGTTGGCGAAATGAAACATGAAATCCTTCATACGGCACTGAAATACATCACAGATGGCATTCTGGGCTGCAGTGAATATGTATCGATCTTGTGAGGATATTATGTTCAATCGGATTCTGAATTAAAAACACATGGAATATATTTACTAAATGATCAATTATTTAGCTATTACTATCCGTAAAGAGATTATGAATTTAAAAAAGTTAGGACGACTACAACAATACTCAGGTAATAACTTATTTCTTTCTTGTTATAAACATATACACTCGAACATATAGTGGTATTCATCACCCACTTCTCCAGAATTCCAAATAGGACATTTTCTAACCTGGAAGGGAATATTTTTCCAACGCCCCACTTCAACTTGCAGCCTTGTATTACGAGTTCTTAACTTACGAAAAGGCTGAGAAGTGTTAAATGGTAATAAAATATAATTTTTATCCCCCGCCGCGCGAAAGCGCGAAGCGGGGGATATAGTATTCACGACCGTCCGTACGTCCGTCCGTACATCCCACCTGTTTGTTGCCGCGATATCTCAAGAACTAAACACTGGATTGTCTTCATATTTGGAACTATGGTGTATATACAGACTCCGCAGACACCAGTCGGTTTTGGTGACCTTGATCCCATTTTCAAGGTCACAGCAGACAAATCTGCTTTTAGAGTTGGAAAACGGTGTTGCCGCGATATCTCAAGAACTAAACACTGGATTGTCTTCATATTTGGAACTATGGTGTATATACAGACTCCGCAGACACCAGTCGGTTTTGGTGACCTTGATCCCATTTTCAAGGTCACAGCAGACAAATCTGCTTTTAGAGTTGGAAAACGGTGTTGCCGCGATATCTCAAGAACTAAACACTGGATTGTCTTCATATTTGGAACTATGGTGTATATACAGACTCCGCAGACACCAGTCGGTTTTGGTGACCTTGATCCCATTTTCAAGGTCACAGCAGACAAATCTGCATTTAGAGTTGGAAAACGGTGTTGCCGCGATATCTCAAGAACTAAACACTGGATTGTCTTCATATTTGGAACTATGGTGTATATACAGACACCGCAGACACCAGTCGGTTTTGGTGACCTTGACCCCATTTTCAAGGTCACAGCAGGCAAATCTGCTTTTGGAGTTGGAAAACGGTGTTGCCGCGATATCTCAAGAACTAAACACTGGATTGTCTTCATATTTGGAACTATAGTGTATATACAGACACCGCAGACACCAGTTGGTTTTGGTGACCTTGATCCCATTTTCAAGGTCACAGCAGGCAAATCTGCTTTTAGAGTTGGAAAACGGTGTTGCCGCGATATCTCAAGAACTAAACCTCTCGATTGTCTTCATATTTGGAACTATGGTGTATATACAGACACCGCAGACACCAGTCGGTTTTGGTGACCTTGACCCCATTTTCAAGGTCACAGCAGGCAAATCTGCTTTTGGAGTTGGAAAACGGTGTTGCCGCGATATCTCAAGAACTAAACACTGGATTGTCTTCATATTTGGAACTATAGTGTATATACAGACTCCGCAGACACCAGTCGGTTTTGGTGACCTTGATCCCATTTTCAAGGTCACAGCAGGCAAATCTGCTTTTAGAGTTAGAAAACGGTGTTGCCGCGATATCTCAAGAACTAAACGCTGGATTGTCTTCATATTTGGAACTATAGGCTATATACAGACACCGCATACACCTGTCAGATTTGGTGACCTTGACCCCATTTTCAAGGTCACAGCAGGCAAATCTGTTTTTGGAGTTGGAAAACGGTGTTGCCACAATATCTCAAGAACTAATCGCTGGATTGTCTTCATATTTGGTACTATGGTGTATATGGCGGGGGATATTTCGTCACTCTGTGACAAATACTTGTCTAAACCCATACAGGTTTAATACAATCGTTTGTCTTACCCTTTGAAGATAAAGTTGCCACCATTGATCTGTCAACATTTGTTCAACTTGGTGAAATAACCAATTCTCACTGATTACAATCTGACTCTTCCAAACAGATGATAGCCATATTCATCTGAAGTATTTCTTCAACAAAGGAGGCTGATATACATTGCAACTATTGATCTCTCATAACTTAGCATAAACAATACATGAAAGCTTGCTTGGATTTTAAAATTCAGTAAATTACACCAATAAAATAATACGCGTTTTTAAAATAATGATACTGAAGGGAAGGCGCC